ACAATGAACTTGTAGGTTTAAAAGGAAAATAAAGGCTGGCAAAACTTGGTACAGAAGGCATTTAACCAAACAAATAACAGGCTGATGTCATGGTGTCCTGACAGGACCCTTAGAGAACAGCAGTCATATAAATCCTTTCCTTCATTAGCTTGTCTGTCACTCAAAGAGGTCCTAGGAGGCAGGAGACCCTTGTGAAGGACCCCATTTCCAGAGGTGCCACGGGAAGGAAAGTGAGAACAGCTGAGGTAGAGGGCAGATACCCTCTCCACACAACCTCCCATCCTGCACCAGGACCACTAGCCAGTTACATCCTAGCAGAAAGTTCATGCCAGGAGAGCAGAAGCAAGGGAGGGGGCAAGAAATGGTACACTTGGGGTCTGGAGGCCCACTAGGAAGGACTATCAAATTTCAGCACACCTGGAAGTCTCCAGTATTGCCAGCTCTTCCACTCCTGTGTTCCACTAGTCTAAGCATCTAACCTCACTCTGAAGTCCTGAACCGTGCAGTTCCTTTACCCATTGGACCCCGGAATTGGCCTGTGCTGATGACTCACCACTGAAAATAAGAGGACTCCTAGTGCCTTATGTTTAAATGTGACTTATTAGAAACACTTAATTCTTTTCAACTAGCCACTTTTCCGCCTGTGCCAATGATGTACACTTTCCGTAACTGGACGTACACTTTGCTTCCTCCCAGAACACGCATTCTGCATGCGTCTGTTCTGAGACCAGGTACAGCCTCTGGCAGCCAGTGCTGCTTTCCCGAAGCCCTACACTGTGGGGTGAGACAACAATCTGCAGCAATGGCAGCAGGAAACACCCATTTTATGGCTATCTACCACACTTCATTTCATCTATACAACTGCTTTACCAGGGGGAACTACTTTCACTCCTCCATTGGACATGGGAGAATTGTGGCTCAAAGAGGCTTAGTGGCCTGCTAACAAAAGGCTACACCCAATGTCTTATAAACCATCCCACACTGCTTACCTTCAGTGATCCTACTCCTGCAAACAGTGTTAGTGCTCCGAGAAACTGCTTGTAGTGCTGCCTCATAATAGAGGTCAGGACTACACGGGCTGGCAACACTAGTGATTGCCAGGCTTAGTGAAAATTAGTTTTCCTCTCCTATTCAGCCTCCCAACCCCATGTACACTTTCCCTTACTCTTGCTCCCTTGGTTCACTAGCCTGTGAATTGCCTGAATTGGAGGTCTAGGCTAGTACAGTGGTACCTCAGTTTATGAACTTAGTTTGCTTTACAGTTTTGGGGAACACAGGTACATTTGGGTTTGGGTGGGGAAGATGGTTACGGTCATGTTTGTCTCCTGTTATGCAGTTTGCAAATAGAAGCAAATTTTTGCTGAATGCTTTTGTTTACAAATGGAAGTGTTCATGAATCGAGGTTTTACTGTATGCTCTGGCCTCTGTGCTCCTATCACTATCCTGGTGACATTGCTGTGCCTGTTTGTTTTGCTCAGCATAAGCTCTTTAAGATCATGGATCAATGACTTCTGGACCCTACCCAGAGCCTGGTTTCAGCAGCTCTTGAATTAATGCTCATAGATTGAATAAGTAATGAATGCTTCATAAGAAAACTAGGTTATACAGAAAAGACCTAGAATAGCAAAGATAATTCTAAGTAGCAAAGGCAAGGCAGGAGGCATCACAATCCCTGACTTGAAGTTATAGTACGAAGCAACTGTAGTAAAATCAACATGGTACTGGAATAAAGTCAGATCTGAAGATCAATGGAATAAATTAGAAGATACAACCACAACTACAAATACACACAACCACCTTCGCTTTGATAAAGGGGCCAAACATATCTTATTAAAGAGACTGTCGTCAGGAAAACCTGGCTCTCCATATATCAAAAACTAAAATTAGACCCATGCCTATCACCATGTACTAAACTAAAATCTAAATGGATCAAAGATCTGAATATTAAAATAGAAACACTAAATCTGTTGGAAGACAAATTAGGTAAAAATCTTGAAGACATAGGAGTAGGTAGAGAATTCATGAACAGGAATCAAACTGCATAGGAAATACTTCCCAGAATCAATAACTGGGATCAGGGATTTAGCTCAGTGGCATAAGCACCTGCCTGGCAAGTGTGAGGTCATGAGTTTGATCCCTGGTACCACAAAAAAAAACCAACCAAACAAACAAACTGGGATCATGTCTTATTAAAAAGTTTCTGCATGTCAAAAGAAATCTCCAACAGAGTGAAAAGAAAACCCACAACCTAGGAAAAAATCTTAGTGAACTGTCCCTCAGACAAAAGACTTCTGTGAAAACATATAAAGAATTTTAAAAAATCAGACCCCCAAAATTTAAAGACCCAATGCAAAAATGGGCATCTGAGATGAATACACACTTCTCAGATGAAGAAATACAAATGGCAAATAAATACATGAAAAAATGTTCATCATCATTAGTCATTAGAGAAATGCAAATTAAAACAACACTGAGATTCCATCTCACTCCAGAAAGAATGGCCAGGACCAAGAAAACTACCAATAACAAATGCTGGAGAGACTATGGGGTAAAAGGAACTCTCCTACACTGTTGGTGGGAGTGTAGACTGGTGCAACCAGTGTGGAGGTCAGTCTGGAGATTTCTCAAAAAAGCTGGGATTGGAAGTCCCATTTGACCCAGATATTCCACTTCTAGGCATATTCCCAGAAGAACTGAAAACATCATACCACAGTGATATATGTGCACCCATGTTTATAGCATCACAATTTGTAATAGCCAGATCTTGGAAACAACCTAAGTGTCTATCAACAGAGGAACGGATAAAAATGTTGTGGTATTTTTATACAATGGAGTACTACTCAGCTATACAGAATGATCACATTGAGATATTTATAAATAAATGGATGCAACTTGATACCATACTCATAAGTGAAATAAATCAAACTCACATATATAAATACTGTATAGTCTCCCTGGTATAAGAAATGGTAAGCATACATAAGATTTTATGGTAATCATGATTCCCCATTACACTGCTTTGAAGCCTTATAATGTTTGCACTCATTAATTGGAATGGTTTTGTTCTGTTTTGTTTGATTTAATTATATGTGATGGTATGAATAGCTATTTTGAAGAAAACAAGACATTATAATAGCTAGTGCTGATTTAATATCATCTTGCTTTGAAGTCCTACCATGGTTTTGTTCTTCTGTTTCCATTGGTTCTATCATGTTGTATCTTATTGGATTTTTAATATGTATGATAGTATAAATAAATGTTTTATGGAAAATGAGATAATATAGTAGCCATTGTTCATTTTCAGTTATTTGGTTCTGAATGCCCTGTAATATTTTCATTCTTTTGAATGGTTTTATGCTATTTTGTTATGCTTGATACTATTGTATGTGAAGGTATGCTCAACTATCTCAAACAAAGAGACATTATGGTAGCTACTGTTAATATCAGGTTGTCTTGTGGTAAAGTAGTGTGTTGCTTACATTGTTCTGTTCTGATCTGCTTTGTTCTGTCCTCTTTTGTCTTAATCTCTTTAAAATAAAAAAAATTTTAAAAAGAATACTAGGTTGTAAATCTGAGGTTTGAGCAGAGTTTTCTATGGAAACATATACAACAACTACTAAATAAATGGTTTTAGAGACATCTCTGTGAACCCACTTGGATCAAAAGAGATTGCAGAATATCCTCAGCTCTGAAGCAATTCTAGATCACCCAAGATGGTTACAGTGATGGTGAATCTTGACTGCCAATTTGATTTGGTTTGACATGGCTAGATTAGTGAAGCTCACTTCTGAGTTTGTCTGAATGAGTCAAGGGGGCATGTTGGTGGGGACTTTCTGGTCTCTAGCCCCTTCTTTTGGACCTCTCCTATTCTTTCTCTGCGTGTGTCCAGCATGAGCTGAGCAGCATTCCTCTGCCATGATGTCAAGCACCTTGACTTTGGGACCACATAACCACGGACTGAAACCTCTGAGACTGGGAGGTCAAGGGAAGATTTTCTCTTTTAAGTTGTTTCTGTCATGGCACCAGACATCCTGGTCCCAGCAACGGAAAGGTGACTAGTACAGTAGCTTGACAGCTTCCTTTTACAAAAAGTGTCACTCAAGTTTCCAGCCTTGTGCCTCGTCTTAACATGTGTTATTTTGAGAATCTCAATTCATTCCATGAGGTAGATGAAGAAACCAAGTTCCAGAGAACGTAAATAATTCCCATCATCACAAAGTCTGAGACTGAGTATTCAAACCTGACTCCTTTGGAGAAAGCGCTTAAGGTCTTTGGGCTTTCTAAGTAGCTAACAACACAACCAAAACTAGAATCATGGTCTGTTCAGTTGCCAGGTTCAGTTTTCCTTAAAATTTTCTTCCCTCAACACACCCTAAAGCTGCTTTGGTCTAAACTAAAATTATGGTAGCTCACAAACCTGTCATATCCACTTAGTGACTCCAGGCCTGTCAGGGAACACAGGCTCGTCTAAAGAATGCCTTTGTTCTTTATGAACAAGGGCCTCTGCACTCACACAAACAAAAGACAAGACAAAGACCTGACTGACAAAACTAAGCACTAGCAGCCCACCACGAGTTATTGAAAACAAAGTGCACGTCACAGAAAACCACACCGTACCACATCACACCAAAGCCTGGTATTCAAAGCCATGTTAGTCAGAGCAAACCAAAGATAATGTCTAAAGCATGAACAGGACATGAAGGAGGCTTCTTCCTTTTCATGGGCTTTTGTACCAGGTTAGGAGCAGTCAACAGGGGGGATACTTCTGAGTCACCTCAAGGGGCCAGAACGAAGCCTGACCTTTTCCTCCAGCTTTCCCTGGTCCTAACACTTTAATCAATGTCCCCTCCATTTCCATCCTGGGATATCTCTGCTCCCAATGCAAGCAAACAGGTCTCACAAGCATCCACTTGGCCTTGACTGACAGATTAGGGACAAGACATCCAACCCACCCTGCCAAGTAAGATGCCAAGTGCACCCCAGTCATGCTGCAGGCCTACCTGACTCATACCACTCTGAGCAGCTCTCCTCTCAGCCTCGCCACCTCTATGCAGCTCTGTCTGCCCCGCCTCCCTTCCTGGAAAAGTGCTGCCCAGAGGCTTGCTGGGCCGGCTCTCCTCAGGAATGCGGAGCTCTGAAAGTCTCTGTTCAGTACTCAGGCACCTGACCACATCTGAAGGCTTCAAGCAGCTCTTCTTAGAGATCTTGGGTCCACCAGGGCATCTCTCACCTGCCTTGCTCTCTGCTTTTCTTTCATATTGTCCATTCTCTTCTCGCCAGGGCTGAAGTTTGCTCTGGCTGCTAAAGGCACCGCTAAGCTCTGAGATGACCCTATCAGAGCTCCCAAATAGCGGCTGGGAGTAGCCATGTTGGTGAATGCCTGAAGATGGCATGTGGAAGCCACCACTTCCATTGACATGAAGAGAGGCCTGCGAGCTGGGAGCCAGTGAGTAGGTTTTCTGAGGAGCAGGCAAAGCCAGTGGGGAAACCCCTGAGTGCGGGGTAGGGTGATTCGACCAACTCCCCTGAGAGAGGCTAACAGGCAGGGAGGGACGGGCCCTTGCTGATGAGATGAAGTGGTCCGCGTCACACACAGATGCCTCAGGCAGAGGAGGCAAAGGTGGAGTGAGGGCCAGAGAATGCCTGCTTGGGAGTCCTACAGTCAGCGATATCCATTCGGAAGTGACAGCGTGCATCTCAGGGGACAGGGTTCTACGGGGGTGGGGTAGAGATGAGGGGGCTGGCATGATGATCTTGCTGAAACCCGGGCACTTAAAAAGAAAAGGAGAAAAGGAAAACAAAAGGAAAAAGTCAAAGGAACAAGTGTCAGCACAAAGGAAAAAGGAAGAAAATAATCACAAGAGGCACAAAGAGGAATGAAAAGGAGAGAATGAGCAGGACACTCTGGTGTCCAGCACGGAAATCACCTGGGGAGGTTTGGAAAGAAACTGGGATGTGGGTGAAGTGTGCGTGTGTGTGGATTGGTATGTGCAAGCAGGGGACAGCAGCAAAGGCAAGTGGCATGGAGATGGAACAGGTTCCCATCAGATAGTGACAGGTGGTGCCAACCTGCTTTGCAGACTCAGATTTCAAAGGGACACACTGGGAAGCCACACCCCAGCCCACCCCAGTCTTCCTGCAACTGGACCCCAGAACCAGAGCTAGGGACATACCACTCTTCAAACTCTTCTTTGGGCTTTTATTTTCTCTAGACTCAAAAGAGCTTTCCAGAAAGGAGCATGAGTATTGTGGCCATTTTGTTTTACAATCACCCTTGGCAACAGTCACATGAAAATCCCAGCTGAGTTGTCCACGTTATCACAAAGCAGATGCCCTGCTCCCATCTCACACCCTCTCTCAGGTTAGCAGGCCTCACTGGGCAGGAGTCTGTCAAGAGCTCTCTACTGGCATCAGCGATTAAACAGGTGGGAGAGGAGGAAATGATGAAAGGGAAAGCATAAAAGAGTGTTACCCTGGGTCCCTGGGTCCTCTGTCCATGCTCTCCACAACTTGCACAGCCAGTTTATTCCACGAGATACCACCCCAACTATGCCTCTCTTAAAGTTCAAATTTTTTCATCACTTTGGGAAAGTGGGCATGGGCTTGGAGTAACTTATATTTTAAAACAAATTTCTCCATAATTATTGTCCAGAAAAACAGAATTTGGTACAGACTTACCAAAAAATATGATATTTCAAATTTATTTTAGTAAAAGACACATCACCATCAATCCCCCTCACAATACTCCTAGTCCCTCTACGCTGTCTCAAACACATTTATGCCTTTGCCACATTCTGAAGCTCTGGAAATCCTCCTCCATATAATTTATAAGGCATCAAAAATGTGATGAATACTGTTGTGAAGGGCCATCCAAGTAAAGGCAGGCCATAAAAACATTACAGTGTGTCTTCACCCGCCTTATTCATTGGATCTGCTACCATGTGACTTCTGGCTCTTCCCAATGTGAAAGGTAAGTGTTCTGAATCAGTTCTAGACACCAAAGTTGTCATGACACTGCAACTAAAAGACACTCAGGAAAAAAGATTTCCAGAACTACTTCAGAACTGCATTCAAAATGGAAGGGAATTTTTTAGAGACATAAATTGCAATGTGTCATTTACTGTAATAAAAATTTTAAATTAAATATTCACTGTGTTTTGGATCACATTTCCTAAGTGTCTTTTCCAACCTGGTTGGTTCAAGTAAATGCTTACACAAATACTCTGGATCTGGTCTACAAGTCTAGAGACGAAACCATGATATTCTTTTTCCATTGTTTTCTTCTGCAAGCCAATCTTGACTGACAACATGAGACCCATCCTGAGCTGCAGAATTTATGATACAGCAATGGTATCTATACCACAACTGCTACTAGTAACTAACTAATAAAGGCTCTTGCTTCTCTTTCTCTACTCACCTTTAAGTTCTTTATCTTCCCTGAGATGTTTCTTTTACTGAGTGCTAAATAAATGCCATGTGTACACACAAAGACAAACTGTAGTGTACCGTCTGCATTGCTAGGGGCAGTTCATAATCACAGTACTCCAGAACCATGCCATTGCACTGCTGAGCCTAAGTTACGGGCTATGTTATGGAACCAGTGATGATAAGCTTATGTACCTGAGGACTTGCAGTGACACTGCGGCTTGGAGAAGAGGAGTAAGGCAGGTCAATGTAATCCACAGGGTTTTTTACCAGTGGCCGTTTGAGTACATCCACATAGGTAATGGGGAAGATGCCCTGTCGGGATGTTCCTGGAATCCTCCCTTCATACCAATTCTCATCCACCTGTCGAAGGAGTGTGATCCTTTCACCCTGAAAGACACGGCAAGACAAAGGTCCTTACCCCACCACACCTCACGAACCTAAGGCCCCTGCCTGCACCTGGGCTGTCCTATATCATTTATCACGCCCTTCTCTCAGGAGAAGTCTGCCATGCTGATGGAGTTAATGTCACTGTGATCTTCAAGTATTTCAGTAAAAAGGTCAAATTCATGCTGCCAAGGTAAAAGTCATGGTTTTGACTCAATTGAAGAAAAATAGACATCCTGTAAGGTGAAGAGTTTGCATGGTTCCCTTTTTCTTCCTTTTTATAACTTTATTTTTCATGTATTATTACAGAAAAGTTAGAAGTAAACATAAAGCAGACAATGATCATCTCTTGGAGAAAACAATATCAGAACATATGCACCTTCCACATGTAATCTTACACACGTGAATTATACTTGCCCACATTTTTCTTATGCAAATGGAGTATGAACTGTACTTCCCTTTCCCTATGCTTTGTTTTTAGACTGACAATAAATACTGAACCTCTTTCTTTAGCAAGTAACATAATTCTAAATTTTTAACAGTGTTGTACAGCTTCATGGATCAGTATGGGGAATTCTACACACATGAATGATTCAATTACTGATTCCCTGCTGCTGGGCAATTAGGTTGCTTCCAGAGAATCTGACACATAGAGTGCTTTTGAATCCCTGGGAAGATGTCCCCTGCTCAGTGTGAGTGTGTTCACAATCAACATGCCGAGCTCCTCCCAGGCAACAAGATGGTGGTAACACTGGCAGCTTCTGCTTACTGAGCACCAAGCAGATGCACACACCATGCTGGCAGTCTCACATTAGGCCTTTTACAACCACCCTGGGAGAGCCATTTATCTCCATTTTTATATGTGTGGTGATGAGAGCTCAGGAAAAGCATTTAACACGTCCCAAAGTACACCACTGATAATCTGTAGGTTTTGAATTCAATGATTCTCAAATTCCTGCTGCTATTAATGGACTATAAACCAACACAGTGTTCACCACAGCATTAAATGTTCACTAAATACTGGTTGGGCCATTTATGAAAGATGTCTAAGGTTCTAGAAATATTGCCTTAAATCAGTGAACTTAATGTGGTTAAGTTTAGTTTCAAAACATTTGACCTCATAAAATTCTCCTATTGCCCTTACTCAAGTGTTAACAGCGTACATTACTTAATGGTACAGACTGCAGACAACACCAATGTCACATTCCCCACATTAATGGCACTACCCAGAAGAGTGCCAAAGCACACGAAGAGAGGGCAGCTTGCCTTTCTGAAGGACATTTCTATTTGTGTATCACCATTAAAGTTAAACTTCGCAACAGCTTCTCCATATTCCAAAACCTGCACAGGCGGCAACTTTTTGGGCTGAGCTTTCTCCGCAGGAGGAAGAAGCTGAGGGAAAAAAAAAAAAAGAGGCAAAAGAGGAAGATGAACAGAAGGGAGCAAAACACAAGTACTCAGTAAATAATGGTGCTTTGAGCATGCCTGGCTTTTCCTTACAATGACAAAGGGCTACAGTACCTCAATGTAGGTACACGGGAAGATTCCCACTCTGCCGTGGTGCTCTCCTTCATACCAGTTCTGATCGATCTGCTTATAAATGTAAACAACATCTCCCTTCTGCAGAGGAAGCTCCCTGTTGACAGAGGGTCAGAACATTTTAGTAGATGCTTCAATACATATTATGCAAGGCTAAGGTACTTGATATTAGCAAAAGGAGATTTCAAGCAGAGTCAAAGAGGACAGATTATGGGGAGGGGGGTCAAATCTGACAGAAAACCACTGTTCAGGAAATCACATCACGTGGCACATTTTGTCCAGTCTTTTGCAGGAGGGGTATTAACACACAAACTGAGTAGCACTTGAAAGTTCTCAGAAGCCTTATTAGTTTATTGTTGTTTGCTCAGTGCATTTTTTGTGAATGCTATCTGCTTAGAATACTGACATACCACATAGCAATGCACTCAACTATCTTAATTGATATTTATTAAATGAAGAAAAAATGCTTTTTTCTTTTACATCTCTCTACTTCTTGTCCAGCAAAACATGCCTGAATTGTTTTAAGTTATCCTTAGGCCAGGTGTGGTGGCACATGGCCATAATCGCAGCACTCGGGAGTTTGAGGCAGGAGGATTGCTGTGAATTTGAGGCCAACTTGGGCTACATGGAGATGCAAGGCCAGGCTGAACTATGTAGAGAGGCCCTGCCCCACCCCTCCCTAAAGTGAGACAAGGAGAGAAACTATAAACAAAATAAAAGCTTAAGAAGAGAATAAAAATTGTAACCTGAAATTTCATGAATTAAAATGACAGTTCTCCTATGTATAAAAGCAACAACACAGGAAGAAAGGTCTCTGAGTGTACACTGGAGGGGCATGACCTTTGCAATGTGCCAGGAAGTCCCAGGGGACATGAGAGAGGCTGGCTAAACAACAGGGCACATGTGGAAAACTTTGCCCACTAGATCTTGTGCTAAATAAAAGCATGAGGTGGCTTTGTGGGGCTTGAATTAGAAAGAGGATCTCAGTCCCCAAAGGGGAGGAAAGAGGGTCTGTAGCATTTGCCCCTATCAAAAGGAATGTCTCCAGGCACATTTTTGCCATATTCCTCGTTGAGATGTTCTGACTTTCCCCTCTTTTTATCTCTAACTGTGGACACAGGGAGGAGCAAGACTCTCTGCATATCCACCCCTGCTAGAGATGCACAGGCTTCTTAGTCTGCTACCCTGAGTAGCAGGGCAACTCATATGAAAGGAAACAACTTGGAGATGTATGTAGTTGTAGCCACTGAAAATATACACACAGTGTCTCTGTGGCTTCCATCTTTCCTGCACTGTGGACCACACCTCAGCTCCCAGAGAACCATGGACCAGGTCTGGTGGTAAGAAGGCTTGGGTAACAATAGCCTGCTATATTTCATGTCTTTTCTGGAATATCACTGTATACCTAAGCACAACACAAGATCTGAAATGTCCCAGGGAAAGAAAAACTTGGTTAATTATTTTGCCCCAAGTTTCTTTATGCTGAAGACCCTCAGTTTCCTCATTTGTTCAGTGGGGATGATAACCACACCTGCTCCATAGAATTCAGCCTTGATACCTACGGGTACATGAGTTACCATATGAAATATACTTTAATCAACACTCATAAATTCTTCTCTTATTTTTAATCCCAGTTGTATTTCTCCAACTTCATTCTACAAGTGTACTGTTGTATCTCAAAAAGATAGGTAAGAAGGCAAATAAATGTGACTGGTGGCACTTACTTTAGTGTCTGAGCTTTAAAGTCAAATTTGGCTCTGGCAGGTCTCATCTAAACACAAGAAACATGTTACAATCATGATTCATGAACAATGAAAAGAATGCATTTTCACAAGTTTCTAAAAAGCAAAGCAGAAAACTTCACACTGACAAGTTCATTCTGACATAGACATCTTGGAAGAACTCCAGTGTCTAACCTCTGCAGCCCATTAGATGGATGCTTAGCCAGTGAGTAATCACAAGAATTCACTCAGTGAGGGCCAGAATCTATGTCTGAAAGAAACAGTGGTTCCTAAAACATGACACTGGCTATTAAAAAAACCAGTCAGTCAGAAGACCTGAGATGTTCCTTTCCCACTGTCTCACTCCTCAGGGGCAGCCACTAGTCTGACTTGAATTTTGGTCTGCATGAAGACAGAGCCGACACACCTCTCATGTCATACCCAACTCTGCGTATTTCTTATGATCTATGAGACCATCCAGACCGAGACACCACTCCTGAGGTAGCCCTGTTCTCCCAGACACTCAGGCCTGGAGGTCAGCCTCTGTCACAGCTCCATGCTCTCATCACGTTTGTCATTAAATCAGGCCTGCCCACTGTCCACGCACATCTACCCTGGTCAGCTCCAACTTCCAGTTCCTGCAGGTGCCCTCTAACTTCACCTTTCCTTCACTCTATGCATCATCACTAGGAGCACAGAGAACATTTCTCAAGTTCTCTTTCGTGTTGGCGTGGGCGCTTAACTGTCCTTCAGATCCAGCTGCTTAGAACTGCTGACATGGGTTGAGGCCTTGGGTCAAGTTTCCTGCTTTTACTTAACTGCTTTGGCTCTATGATATGCTTCCTGCTCCAGGCAGGAAAATTTATTTGTCACATCTCCGCTAAACCCTCTTCGCTGTCAATTTCTTCAGCTCCACTTCTAGCAAGCTCACTTTTATCATATTTATTTGCATGTCTTTCTTCCTCATCTTTAAAAATAATAATATTTAAAAGGACACAGGGGTTAGAAATTATATACATGAACAACTATTTTTGGCTTTCAGCATAATTCTGCCCCCAGCGAGGAGCAGCTCCAGATTCTTCAACTTCTAGGATCTTTTGGACTGGCCAAACAACACGATGAAAATCAAATTACATGTCTTCTTCTACGTTAGAAGACACAAGGAGAGTGGAAAGGAAAAAAAAAAAAAAAAGAAACACTTAAGGTGAGAAAAAAATGGTATTTAAAAGTTTCATCAAATGTGGTTTTAGATTTTAATCCTTCAGGGATATGCCCCATATTTCCAGTCTTCTCATGCTTGTAGAAATCAGCAATCATGAATCCTTTACAGGAATTTTTAAGTTTGTATTTTCAGGTTGATGTGTCTGTTTCTACACATACATATTAGGGGCCAACTGAATGACCATATTATAACGTTAATACTACACAATCACATTAATGCTACACAATTTTAATATTTGTGTCTATCTGTAACCATTAACATAATCTAACAGTTATAGGAGCCAGATGTGCTGGCACACATCTATTATACCAGCTACTCAGGAAGCTGAGGCAGGAGGCCTACAAGTTCAAGGCCAGTTATGGGCAACTTAATAAAACCTTGTCTTAAAATAAAATAAAAAAAAACAAAGGGCTGGGGATATAGCTCAGTGGTGGAGAGCTGTGTAGCATGCATAGGTTCCTGGGTTCAATGTCTAGTACGATGAAAAACAAAAGAATCAGTTGTGCTTAGAAAAGTACAAAAGAAAGAACTCAATGACAAAAATTGTAAAGAAAAATTTTACAGACATTCCATCTGAAAAAAATGTGGATGGTCCAGAGCACCCTGTGTCACCCAGTTGTAGAGCTGGGTGAGCACTAAGAAACTTATATCAGCAGCAGATATTCACACTTCGAATGGTGACTGAGTTCAATTAAACAATGTTACCTATCAACTACACTAACAGAATTGTACCAGGAGTATTTAATTTGTAAACTGTCTGTTCAATTTGTAAATTGGTGTGGCTTAGTAATTTCCATTAAAAGGAATTCATGGTTACTCAAAACTGAGCAACTGTGAATCTAGTGACATTTTCAGACCCACATACAGCTGTACAAAGAAGACCAGCTCCTTTTTCTTCTTCTGTTGCTCTTGACACCAAATTCTTGTTTGCTTCCACTTCCCACAGCATTGTGATGCTTACTCCAGGACAGACACAACTACAAGTAAGGGGAGATCCTGCCACTAACAGTTCACCCACAGTCTAGACAATCCTGTTTCTCCTGCCATGGAGCCTTACACAAAATCAGTGGCCACTCTAGTTCTAGTAAACAGGAATGCATCTACGCAGTCTCATCTACCTGGTGCTTGCTGATCTCTATTTTCTTGTTGATTTCTACTTATTAACTCTATCAGTTAATTTCGAGGGCACTGATTCTCTAAATGTGGCCCCTTTACCGGCATCATCAACATCATTTAAGAACCTGGAAATTCTAGGCCCCATCCCAGAATCAGAAACTTTTGTAAATGGAATTTTTTTTAACAAGCCTCCAGGAGGTTCTAACAATCAAAAACAGGAACTGCTGCTACTGGAGGGAGGTAGGGCTCCTTAGGGAGAGCGCCCACCTCTGTGCAGTGTTAGCTCCTCCGCACTGCGTTTGCATTCACATGTATCTCTAGCATGCCTGTGCACAGCGCCATCTCCCTCCTCGTTCACAGGCAGGTAGCCAGGTAGTGAGGATGAGCCAGCACCACGACCCTCAGAGTAGGACTGCTCTGAGCGGCAGCTGCAATGCTGAAGGCTGAAGGCTGGCCGCTGAGTAACACTTGTTGACTTTGGCTTCTGCTGCATTTTCTTTTTCTCCACACTTTAGGACTTCCCCTTCCCAGCTTCACTTCTTTATTTCCTTTTCCTTCTATTTTTTTTAAAGAAGGCAGTGACATTTCTGTCACTCGAAAGATAGAAACGTGAATATTAACCTACCATATTGAAACGTTATATAGTAAAAGACATATGGTGGGTGTCACTTTCTCACATTCTAACCCCACTCCAACTTCCAGACACATGCACTCCCCATGCAGAGACCAGCAGCAGCAGGCTACCGAAGGTTTATACGGCGAAACATAAACTCTGCCCCAAAAAGCAGCATTTGGCCAGCATAAGTTTTCCAACATGTTGGCCAAGACCTGGGTAAAAGTCATTTCAGGATTTTTTTTTTCATTCCACTATAATACGAAGGTTTTGTAAACTAAGTTGAGAAATGTCAACATTAGAGAGACAAATGAAATGTCTCTCAGAGAAGTAGCTTACTCTTGAGAGTTTATTCTCAGGGTAAGTCTGTGGTTTTCATAATTCCTCAGTGAGATGCTGCAGGACTCCTGAGCAATTCACACAATCCATCCGTACTTGAAAAGCAATATTATTCTCTGATATTTCAATACTAATGTCATTAAGTTTTGAGATCTTTGCAAATGGCATAAAGTATCAGTAGCTAAACTTCCATAATGTTTCATTAACCATCTCTATAAAAAATCTTATAATTGTCCACACTATTGCTATCAACACATATAACCTAAGGTATATGGTGCCTAAGCAAATGCGCAAGCCACACAGTATCATGATAAAATGCAGGATGGAGAGGCTGACTCATGAAAGCTCTAAGCATGCATGAGGGGTGTGCGACAGCAGATCCCAGCCCCACAGCCAGGCATGCTTGAACATACAGAGCACAGGACATAAGGGGGCTCATGTCCATTCACCAGCCGCAAAAGAGCCAAAGCAAGGCCAAGGGAAGCCGGGATGAAGGTGCTGTTTGGAGAACTAAACTGGCCTACAGAATGCAATGCTGAAGGGAGGCGAACATTGCTTTAGGTCAAGCAGCAGTTCAGGTGACCAAAACAGACCTCTGCCCCTGATTTCCTTTTTGCGGTATCGTCTATATTGAGGAGATCCCCAAAGCGCTCATTAGTGATAAACTGATGGTGAGTCGGGATGACGCCCGTGTGGCGTCGAGCTGCAATGTCGGCCTCTTCCTGCTCGCGCTTAAGTCGTCTCTGGTCCGCTAAAAGTTTCTGCCATGAAATTGCATAAAATGGGCAGTGAATCATTGGATCTAAGGTACTGGAACGCTGCCAATAAAAATAACTAAGGAAGAAGGTTCTGGGTGAGTAGGTAGGGTGAGCTGTCAGAGTCGTCTGTCTACAATCAACGTGCTCCCATCATAACCATCGTGCACACTCTAGGAAGGAGTTACCAGGTCAGCCAGTGGCACAGCCAGGGCACTACAGCACCCTGGGTGGGCAGCAGGAGGCTATGTCATCCCTCCCCACTGAGCCCATCATCCATTCCCCCAGTGTAGTCCAATAGCAGGGCTGGCTGAGTCCTCCTGCCAACATCACACCTATGCTGTGAGCTATGGGATCTCACCATCTGACAACCAGGTCATTTTTGTGCTTCCTGTATCTGTTGCCTAATAGATTCTTCAGAGTGGAGCTGCTTATTTAGGTGCCTTCCCTCCTTGGGCAGCCAGCAATCCCTCTAGGCACAATTTTTAGGAGGCCTTAGGAAATACACAAAAGGATAAGTACATGGTTGACTGAGAACCTTATTGTCTAACTGAACTATTCTCCACTAGGCAAAATGAATCTGAGCTTAAGGGAATGGTATAGAATATAAACTAAGAATACTGCTATCTGGCATGAATTGATAAAAATAGTTATCTAGCTCTATTTTTAAAGACCTTTTGAAATAATCAAATAATGCTGCTTATCAAATGTCCTCAATGGCTATTGAAACAGCTCTATAGAATATCTTAATGTATTTCCTTATACCATAGCAGTCTTATATTCCTGGAAGTAATGTTCTTTATAGAAAAGTATTAATTAGAACTTAAAATTCTTAACACGTTCAATAAAGCATTAGTGTTTTTCCAGCAGGCAATTAAAGGCCTTCTGTGATATCTAGCCCCAAAGGTTGGTAGTCCCAGTTTTTCTCCAGGATCTGAGATTTCTGGGGCTCAGTAAAACGTAAAGATTAAATGACAGCTGGGTTTGGTCTGGAAGATCTCTCTAAGTTCAAGGCCAGTCTGGACTATATAAAGAGACCTTGTGTAATTAAAAAAAAAAATTAAATGAGAAAAGACAGCAAAGTGCTCTTCAAAGCACAGTGCTCTGAAACTTGGAGCCTTGATTTGCAGTTCTGCCTCTGGTATAATTTAACTTGTTAGGTGGCTAGGGTCAAGCCACTCCCTTGCTGTGGTCCCTTCCTGGGTAAAATAAAGGGCTGGCTAAATTACCACAGATGACCCTTCTAGGATTGACATGTTTTTATTTTCTGAAAAGCCATCCCAATCAGTGTTAATAATAAGGCATTTGCATAAAAAGTTCAGACCAACACTCCTGCTGCTGAGAAGTGAGTCTTTCCTGTACCTATGAGAATGGACTTGTGCTTGCGGCTGCCACACATCCTTGCTGCTAAAAAACAAAACAAAACAACAACAACAACAACAAAAACTCTGGTGCTTTGACCAAAGTTGAGTATTACCGGTGGAGGCCAGCTTCAAAAGCAGCCAGTTTCCAACCTACTGGTTAGTATATGTGCTGCCGAAGCACACACCCAATCTAGTGCTTAAATCTGACCTCATTAAATCCATCAAGCCTGAAGCTTAATCACATAAACCAAAAGATGTCAGTAAAGACAAACAATTTTAGGGTTTATCATTTGACATCCTTCTGGCAACAGGCTACTCATATTCTGTGTGCAACTTCTAATATGCCAATTGTTAAATCAAATAAAATATGACCATTTTGTAAGTAAGAATTCTACATCTTCCATGTCAGATCCTAGAGTTTTACTACTAAGATTGAATTTCATCTTTCTTTATCACAGCAGTTTAGGCCTATATACATGGAAATTTTGTATCTTGGTGATAAGAAATATTTAAGAAACTCCTACAGAAATGAATCTGTTTCGTGTCCTGGTGAACAATTATTAGTGAGTTTTGAATTTCCTAATTAGAAAAAAACTCTGTATATCAAATATTTCTTCTTGCTTCTTCCCATGGGCAAGTGTAGTATCTTACTGAGTAAACTGTGCTTGGTGATTGGGAAGTATGATCATTTCTTTTTGTCATTTGTCTCACTATCTGATAGCAATGATTATAAAATCATTACAAAGTCAACCGTATCCTTAATCCTTAAGGAAATTCCACCTGAACTCTAGAATGACTCAAGACAGAGCAGCATAGAAACAGGAGGTGGAACCAAGTTGTATAGATATCATCCCCCACTGCCATCATTCCCAAAAATTTCTTCCATCGTTTAATTCAGTATAGCTTCCTTTTACAGGAAAACAGACACTGAGCTGGTTTAATGGACAGGATCTCTTTTCTTGGGAAAATGAAAATACACTTTATAATGTTTTAAAACAGCAGAGGCATGTGATCTTGTCCATTCAATGGCTGATGTGCAGATCCCCGGGAGAACGGGTTCTTTGCTAGACTCTGCCAGTCATACCACTGTACAGGTATTTCAGTAGCTGCATGGACATAGCCAGTTCTGAGGTTTTCACCTGAGGCTTACTAAAACTTGGGATATTTCCTTTCCTAATTAAAAGTAATAGAGTTATAGGAAATTTGCTCAACTTGTTTTATAAAATGTATTATTACTATTTTTCACTTTTCTCTTTTTCCTGCTGCATCCTTTCCAATTTGAACTATGCTTTGTGCCAACAGAAGGGTGGACAGCAATGGAAATCTGTGGGTAGACTTCCTTACAAAACAGGAGAGGAATGGGAGGAGGAACAAAGGGTGAACTTTAGCTCCCAGTTTATGATGCATCTGGTGCAGCAGTGGAAAACCTTTTTTTCTATCTCCTATGCAGCAGTACCAGCTGGGCATTTGTAACTGAAAGCCTGTGAGGAAATCAGTCCCATTTTTAAAAAAGTAAATTAAAGGAGAAAAAGTCACCATTAAAACCCCAATCTTTGCTTGAAATCATTTGTTACTTTTCTAACTGGTGTCTAGAATGTTTACTTCCTTTATGGTCTTTTTCTGCACAAGAGTTAAGAGATTTAAATAATGAAATTTACCTCTTTGTCATCATGACGTCTTCGAATGAATTCTTCTGTGGATTCCAAGTAATCAGCTGGTATAAAATGTCTTGGTGACTCTGAATCTTCAAAACAACAAAGTAGAGTTAAAGCAGAAAAAAGTTTAGTGGGAAACCAGGTTAGAAAAAGATTTTATCTTTCTTGTGTTATAAATATCAAATATTTATAGTTATTGTTGATCAATGATCAATAATCAAATTCTGAAGAAAAAAACATCCAATCCACCCTTCCCTCTTGAGTTTTGGATTTACTTGCAAACTAGTTAAACACAAAGAAACTCATCAAAAAGCAAAAGGAAAGGACATTCTTTAAGTGTCCCTACAAAGAGGCGTGCAGGCTTTCATAGGGACAAACTATACACTCACACACACAGGGCCACAGAGAAAGGCTGCCTCTCAAAAAACCACAGGTGGGTCAGGGACTGGCGCAAACAAACAGGGGTTTGGGAGTTCAAAACGAACACATTTCTCAGATGAGCTAAACGGCCAATTTTTCTTTCAAAACAGTTTGGTGGTTAGTCTACATGACATGGGACTCTGTTTTTAAAGAAGTGCAGCCACTATGAGCCATGATTAATTGCCAAGCAAAACAAACAGAAGTAAAGGACAGAGCAGAAAATGAGCACCAAAGGCACATAGGAGGAAGAGACAAAGCAAGCAAAGCAGAGACAGGGGAGGTGAGACCGGTCAAACACACAGAATGCCACCTCCACGGGATGGAGCCAGCTCACTCTGAGGGTTGTTGTTCCTGTCCAGCCCGTGGTCTGAGCATGGCACAGAGTTCCCATTATTAATGGCCCGTGAACAGTCCTCCAGGACCACAGGTCTCTCCTGAGGGGGTTCTGAGCTGTGGCTAAGCCTAGCCATGGTGTGTCGGGAAGACAGGCGGGTGGGAACCAAGGGCTTCCCTGCTGAGGCAGCCTGGTCCAGATGGGGCTGACTGGGGGCCTCTGGCTTCTGGCCCACCAGGAAGCCCGAGGAGTCAGCAGGGGAAGGCTGCCTAGGGTGGTGCTGGAGGGGCTTTTTCAACCGAAAAGGGAGGGGGCTCATTAAGTAGATATTCCTTAGGAAGACGCTCTTGTCACCCCTGGAATCCAAGCGCCAGTTTGGCTGCCTAGAGGACTGCTGCTGCTCGTGCTTCCGGATGGTGGTAAAGCGGGTATAAGAGGCAGGGCAGGTTCCCTTGCACTTGTTGAGGCGATGTTTGGGGAAGTCTCCATGAATGCTGCTGCCGCTGCCCTCTCTGCTGTCACTGGAGATATTTGAACAGTGGTCCAGCTCATCTGAGCAAGTAGAGAGGGGCTCAGAAGGCTCGAGGCCCCGGAAGCCCAAGGCGTGGTCTGCTATATTGCTACACGTGGGGGCAGCATAGACTCTGCTGGTGTTCATCACATCCATCTCCCTAGGACAGAGCTTAGTTGACTCAAGGAGGGACTCGGCTGAGCGGGCTGAGGCCAATCCACTCCTGGACAGCACAGGTGTGGGGGACTTGCTCAGCCTTCCAGACAGGTCCAGGGATGGCATGGATCGGGACCGCTGAATAAGCTGCTCAAAAGCAGTGATGCGGGAAGAGACGGTATGCTTGGGGATGTGTTCTGAGCCCTCCTGGCTGGGCCCTAGCTCACCCCTGGCCAGTGCCAGGCTGCTCCTTTCAAAGTGGGAGGCAAGATCCCGCACACTCGAGGAGGAGATAGATCCCAGGGAAAGGCCGGCTCTGTTGATCTGGTGCATGTCCCGGTAGAACATGGTAAAGTGCAGCCCAGCCTTCCTGGAGAGGGTGCAGGGCCTCCTGGTACTGGTGCTATACTCCTGGAGGCTCATGGTGCTGCTGGACTTGCTGTCATAATCCCGCCGGGAGCACATTAGTAGGTTCTCAATGCTTCCCCCAACCTGAAGGGGGAGGCTTCTTTTGGAATCATTCAAAGAAACAGACACACAAAGGTTCTCACAGCTCTGAGCCTTCTCTGAGGGCAACAGGACACTCTTCTGTTCCTGCAAAAGAGCGCTGGGAGCAGAGAGCCTAGGTTTGAATTTGGAAGGAAGGATCTCTGAAATGCAGGCTTTCGCAGCGGACAGGGGCTTCTTGTGTTTACACCCAGGGCCTATTGCATTGCTAGTGTGAAACGTTCGGCTATGAACTGAAGATGAAGGAATCATGTGAGCATTCCCACCTTTACGATCCACTGGTAAGCATGCAGAATAAAATAAACAGACCCATTAGGTTAAAGCTGAAAGCTGCTAATAAATAAAACTTAAAAAAAGGAGAGGTAACATGCTCATTTGTCGTTAAGGGCTTTTAAAAAATTTCCATTGATGTCTGGAAGCAAAATAATCTGTGCTGCAAAGCAGGTGCAAAGATGCAACAAAAGAAATGGCCACCCTGCCAGTTAGGAAAGGCTGAAGCTCAGCTAATATCTAGAGAAGGGAATTAGAACAAAAAGGAGAGAAATGCTTCAGAGAGAGCAAGGCTGGGGTCCAGACGATGGGAAACCATTAACACTAGAAAGAAAAATGGCCGGCGAGAAAATAAGGGAGGAGACACCAGGACTCCGAGGCCTGCATATGGACGGGGACTAAGCAGAGCTTGTCCCGGGTGCTGGAGGTCCGCCTGCTGCTGACTCGGGTGTGTGAGAGCCAGAGGCTTGCCAAGCTTCACTCTGTTAATTACCTTTCGTGGAAGCTGAGCTGGAGGGTCTCTTGAGCCCACTCAGGCCCTGGAGAGGGATGTCACCACCTTCCAAGACACTTTTATAAATCTGCCTCTCATTCTCCAAGCTACTGAGATCCCCTGGAGCCCCATCCGATTCCCTCTTCACTGCATGGAAGTTGGAAGAATATATACTATGAACAAGGTAATTGCAAAAGAGAGAGAAGGGGAAGATAACAACAGTTAGCCTTTTCTCCATGTTTCTAAAATCACATCACCAGCTAAGGACAAGGCACATACTTCCTGACACCATAATCAAACAATGTTCTTTCCAAAGAGCATTCTGATTTCAACGTGGATATCTACAAAGACAAGCCATTGGGGCCCTGACTGTTCAGAAATCAGTTTATTGAGATGAGTGCATTCAGGCTTTAAAAGAATAACTGTAAAACACTGTCTGTGGAGCGTGGCAGGGAGTGGCTATGAGGAGAGTGGACAGAAGGGATGGAGGAGGCTGGACATCCAGTGCTGCACGTAAGGTGATAAAGGACATGGGTAGAGGGGACATGGCTCCAACATGTGGGTAGCCATGGACTTAAAGTCCACTACTTGGATAATTTTTATAGATTTTTACATATTAGTGACATAATATTAATATCAGTTGTGAAAAGAGAAGTCCAGCCATTTTGGATGACTAGAAAAATCAGCAACCAAGCAAAATTGAATCTTGGATTCTTCATCCTCTTATTTGCTCTATTATGACAGCTAAACCTCACCACCACCACCCAGGATAGGGTCTCACTACCTTACCCAGACGGGCCTCAAACACTTGAATTGGAGTGAACCTCAGCTTCTTGAGTAGACAAGACTACAGGTGCATGCCACTAGGCCCAGCATTGCAGTCACATTTTGCACTCATTTTTTAGAGTTTTTGTTCAGAACTTTATGACATGTATCATGTGCATAAATTATTGCCCATTTACATCTTTCATTTAATTTTTTTTGTTAAAATCTAACTAATTTTCAAGTTACTACAAGTTCTTTTTGGAATGAAATGGAACACAGAAAAAAACCAGAAGTTTTTAGTCACTGACCCCGTCCTCCTCTAATCCCACTTTTCCACAGCTTCACCTACTGAGACATTAACCCTGACACTGGTACATGCACATTTTCTTTTTCACAAAAGTACATAGGCTTCTTCAATGCTGCTTTCAATCATACTGAATTCAGTCCACTGGTGGTGGGGTGGATATGGCAGTTCTGAAGATCTTTAGAGCTTGATGGAATTCCTTCATCCAACCTTTTTACTATGAATCCATTACTATGAATATGTCAAACATACAGAAAACCTTAAAGAATAATAAAAGTAGACACACACATTCTCTTTACCTGGATTCTATAAGGGAATACCAGGCTGCATTTATTTTATCACCTATCTGTCCATCTATCTTTTTACTAACTATCAGTAATAGAAGATTTTTTACCTTCCACAAAGTAATCCCTTCCTTCTATGTATAACTCTAGTTTCTGAGTTACCACAATGATGGCAATAAATAAATCTATCTGCCCCTTGCCAAGATGTCCCATGTGGTAGGTACTATGCTCAGTGCCTCAGGATAAGTCCTACTCCTGCTATTTTTTAGATGAAAATATGAAGCACTGAGAGACTGGATAACCCTGCAAAGCAGGCCAGGTTAGCAGGATGAAAGTGCTGGAATCCCAGCTATGCCATCAGATGCCACATGGGTTATATTTTCTTTTTTTTCAAGGAACAAAATGTTCATATTATTTTTGAATTTTCCCTCAGTTTTTGTTTTCATTAGTAAATATTTGCAGTACATAATGATTACATTCCCTGTGGAGACTTGGTACATGTATTTCTTTTTTTTTTTTTTTAATCCATTTCCTCTCTCCTTCTCCCCCTCCCTCTATCCCTTGGTTCCTTCCCATTTGAGAAAGATCTATCTCCCTATTTCCTATTATCATACTTTTATTTTACTTTTCATTTGTGTTTAGGGTTTCAGCGGCTGTTTTAGACAAAAGATTAATGACATAAGTGCAGCAGGGGCATTCTTGAACTCCCGCTGGCTCCTGAGTGAGCCACTGCCTCTTGGGCAGCACAGAAACCTACAGAGCTGCATGTTCATCAGAGATCCAGTAATAACATAGTCAGAGACCACCACAGGGTTATGGACAGGAAGTGTCCTAGGCCCTTGCCTGCTACTCATTAAAAGCATGATTTTTGTTTTCTTCTAGGACAGTCAGGACCTAAAGCCATTTTTGCTAAAAGCTATGACTCTGTATTGGGGGGTACAGATGCCCAACAGGTAACTAAGAGCAAGACAAAGCTTGACTTTCATTTTCTACCCTTTGTTACTGCAAATCTTTGGGTCAAATCCCTTTTCAGCCCTGCTAATGGGTATGTTGATCACTTAGGCAGTGTCTAAAAGTTGCCAAAATGAGGCTGCTTAGCCCAGAACTTGCATATCATCTCCCTCAAAAACAAGAACACCAAAATAAGATACAGGGACATCCCATTATCTCCAGAAGCCTCCAGCCATTGTCCTAAACATCTACTGTGATCACCTAGATGCCAGGGAAAAGCAGAACTCCACATGACTGAAACCACTACAGAGATACTCATTTCATAGGAACAGAACTGCCCTTCCTGCCACAAGGATTCCAGAACTAGGAAAGTAGGACTGAGATAAGGAGCAACTGGACCCCAGCCCACCAGCTCCTCCTTAAAGATTGGGTTCCTCCCTGTGGAAGTGCGCCAATCTAGACTCCCTCACCAGAGTGAGCCTCTGCCATCTATTCAAATTGCAGTCTTCTCCAGCAGGCTTACTCTTCACTGTTAAGGGCTGACCTGATCTTTGTCAGCTCCTCAAGATATCATTTTCTTAAAGCTTTTTCCTATAAATATGTACCTTAGTCTTCCAGTAACTTATCAAAGGCAAGGAGCCTCTCCAGTTAACAACAGATTTTGGCACCTAACAGGTCTATTTCAGCCTCCCACAGGATTTGCCTAGACCCCAGAACTGACTGAGCAGTCAGTATCAGAGCCCTGGACACTCAATGTTGCCAGGGGTAAAACTGGCCCTTCAGGTGGTCTTCCAATCCCTTTTTTCTCCTTTTCCTGACCCTATCTTGTTTAATTTCCTTGGGACACAAGGACTTAGTTGGTACTTCCACTAATTGGGAATTGTAGGGCCCATATGCTGGATGCATGCTAGGCAGCAAATAGCAAGAGACACTAATCAGGGAATACATCCCTGGCACAAGTGGCACCGGGACCTATGGCTGAAACAGGAAAGGTGGTGGATACTCTGTCAGAACACAGTGATGTCTGCACCTTAGAACAACCAAGCACCTCTTGCTCCCAGCACAGGTAATGCCTCATACAGCAGCCACTGATAAGCCCTTACCCGGACCCACTACCAGCGAAGGTTTTCATGCACCTGATTTCAGGAGGTCAGGACTCCCTCAGGTCCTTCCCTTCCTCTCTGGTCTAGGTAAAGGGATCAAATAATTTCCCCCTTTTCCTCCGTCAACACACAAATATTACGGGGAACCCCAGAGAAAAGGAAACAACTCTCAAAAGTTTAAAGCACAAAAGCAAGCACATGAAGCAAGTCTCCAGGGAGTTTCTGAGGTTCGTTTCTCCTGGAGAGACACCTCGGAGAGGGCCAAGATGGGGGCAATCTCTTTCCTCAGGTTTGGCCCTTATTTGCTGGAGCACACTAGACTACATAGTTCAGGAATACCCTCGATATATACTTGTTGAATAAATTAAGGATATTTCCTGAAAGTAAAACTGACCCATTCAGGCTGATCAAGGGTATGTCTTGATATGTGACATTATGAACTTACACATTTTTATCCAAGTATAAAACTTACTTAGGGACCCCTGGCTCCTGACATCAGTAACCCAGAATCATTACCATGGATGGTGGACTGCAGGGAATCAGGATAATCCAGGCTTAAGCTGGTTGTTTCCACTGGTGTCCCTTGTCCCCACCTGAGTGCAAAGCCCTACCCCTAGAGATAAAGATTGGCTTTCCCAGGCTCAGTGGCCAGGCCTAAAGACATGAATGGCTGCCCGTGCAACTCTGAGCTGCCAGGTTTTTTCTGTAGTGGGTGCTTGTAGATCACCCCCAACACTCTGACTGAAAAGAGCTAGAGTTACAGGGGTCCCAGTGGTGGCTTGCAAGCTTTTGGCACTAGTTACCTATTTCTAAAACCCCAAACTCATCTAACCGCTACTGAATTTCCTAAAGCAGCTTCATTCTGCTGCCCCTGCTGTCCAGTAAATTGCTTCAGCCTCGGTAAGAGCTCCCTGCCTACCCTCCTGTGTTCGTCTTCATCCTCTGGTGACTCTCAGCCGTAACTGGCCAGTTGTCCTTCCTCTTCCCTCCACCTCACCAGCCGTCAGGATTTACCACTCAGCCTGCCCGCTGTCTGGCCATATTCCACCCATTACCGCTGTTTTTTCCTGTTTCCCACAGAAAGACAAACCACCACTCAGGAAATCTCTCAGAATGGAGTTGCTACAGCCAATTTTCTTTCTGATACCAAAACGGACAAAACAACGCTTTTTCCAGATGTGTAACATTTTAAAACAATGTGTAAGAGCTCTGGAACAACATTTTCAAAGGTGTCTTCTTGAGTTCCCTAATGCTGGAAAAAGATATTTTGCTTGCTCCATTGTTCCAAGGGGGAAACTGAGGACTAGTGGCGTCCTCTGCCAAGGTCCCTGTTGAGAAGAGATGCAGCCTTAGGTTTCCACGGATTGAGAGGGGCACAGAGAAGATGGACTACTACCCCTGTTGTAACAAAACAAGCCAAACTCAAAAGCTCAGCTCTGAGCAGCCGAGCTTGATCCAGATTTGGGTTTACACAGAGCCAGTCAGGAGGAGGCAACACAGAAAATTCAGCCTCTGAGCAAAACTGCCTGCTAAGTTTCAAGAGAATTCAACAAAAATATACTCCCTGGAAGAATAAAGTGAGAGAACAGAGCAATCGCACCACGGCCAACCCCTTCCGGTTGTGGCAATAGGTGGGCTATGGAGGCAGGGGACAGGGTCCTGGAAAACCAGATTCCAGTCTGATTCCAACAGGAATACGGATCACCTGTGGAAATCTTACCTCATTTAAAAACTTTCAAATAGGCTGCTTCTCTCAGCTCAATTTCTTTCATCTACAGAACTAATGAGCATGATAAAAGTATCCATGAAATCCACACCCAAATTTGTTCTCTGTTAGAACACTCTTCTAGGTGCCAAACACAAATATTCACTTGCTTTCTATGTGTCTCAACCTGGTTTACTTCAGGCATTTTAAATCCAACACATCCCAAATCAAACCCAGCTCTGTTCTGCCGCTTCCTATCACGGAAGCCAGAAAGCTCACCGAATCCATCCCCTTCCCCCACCTGTACTCCCCAGATCTAATTAGACACCGAGTCCTGCTGCCTGCCCCTCCTTGACAGATCCCACATTAACACTCTTGCTCACTCTCTCTCCCTGGTTCCTGCCTCATCTACAACCTGCAGCAAGGACACCACCGCTTCTTCAGACTCAAGCCCTGACTCCCTCCAATCAACTCCACAAATCACTGCTCGTGACATTTCTAGACAAGATCTCACTCTATCCATCCACTACTCAGTACTTACTGGGCATCTAATACATGTCAGTCTCTTCTAAGTACAAGAGGCTCGGCTGATAACTAAACAGACAAAAACATTTCTCCCTCATGAAGCTTGTATTTACTGTTCAAACCTATTTAGTGATTTCAGACAGGAAAAGTAAAAAGCAATTGTTAATTGTGGATTTGGGAGAGCAAGTCTATACAATCCTCCAAAAGTTTCCTTTTACTTCAAGAAAATTTTATTTTTTTCTCTGTGTAATGTGTTATTGCTGTTCAGATTTTACTTGACACTATATAAAGTCTACTTTTCCTCTTTCACAAAATAAGAGGTGCTCACTACCTTTTAGGTCCCCTCATTGCATTTAGCACACTAGATGTTGGTTGTTATTCACAAATCTTTTTCACTGATTACATCTGAACCTTTTGTAGGCAGGCGGTTTATGATCTTAACCTTCATATGTCTGGTACCTAGGATAGTTCAACAAATATTGGTAGAATAACTTACTCTAAAAATGCCTAGATATTTCTGATGTTTTTTTTTCCTAGGGGAATTTTGAATGTTTCATATAATTTTTGAAGTTATGATTTGTGTTTTATTCTTAAACCAGGTCAAGGGAGAATCCTGATAGACCATGCAGCAAAGAGCAGCTTGTCTTAGAGAGCCACCTGCTGGTCAAATAGAGTAAAGCTCTTTAGGTCAAGCAAAGAAGGTACCAGTGCTAGTCAATGCTGCAATGGTAGGTGATGACGAAAGTAACCTGGCTACTAATTTACATGTCTGATATGCTAGTTAGATAACATACAGAAATGGACACACACTGTGATGGTAACTATGAAAATAGATTTATAAAGCAATGATGGGTCACTATATTAGGGTATTAGAACTATGGGTGAATTTCCTTCTCACTGTTCCTAAGTTCTTTTAATATTATAACATTTAATGCTAGTTAATTGATTAACTGACAAACTTCAATTTGTCCAACACATGAAAGTGGGTTTAAAACAACAACACTCCACCAGCTGTCACAAAGGGCCACCTGTGGCTCTTTCTCTCCTGGGTTAGATCAACACAGCTAACATTTCCTTCAATATGTCACCCTCATCCACCAGAGAAGGGGCCCATGTTCCGCTCGCTGCTCAGGAGGCTGGGATCCAGCTAGTTATAGATCTACTCATTTGCCCAGCAGCATTTACCACACTCTTGCCTTTGGGTCAGGCAGCCTGTTTGGGCTGCTTCCTCATCAATCACAAAATGAGGAATCGTACATATTTGAATAAAATCGAAGAATACCAAGTCTGATTGCTTACAAAAAAATCCAGAGAGAAGAAGAGTACAAGAAAAAGACTCATTGTTTCCTGCCAAGTATTTCAGAAAAGCTGGTGATGGCTGAAAAACAGTAGTCTCAAGAGACCCATTTCAGTGAGGCACATAAGAATGGCTAGTAAATTCACACATCACACATCTTCATGGACAGCCAAGGAGCCTAACACACTTTGCCCTTCTGAGTGCTTTGCACCAGTCCCTCCCAGTCCTGCTAACCCAGTATTGCAAATAGCTGCTTACATTATTTTACCATCACTCAAAACCAGAGAACCTACATCTTCTGCTAACTACCACATTAGAATCAGAACACTCCACATACCAGCTGTGGGACCGTAGGCAACACGCTACCTCAGTGTGCCCATCTTATCACCTTTACAAAGGATATTGAAAGTAACAGCCAATGATATAAAGTGGACAAATTGTTAAGCATAGTGCCTGGTGCATAGTAAGTGCTCAACAAACTATTGCAATTATTTTCTTTGAGATTTGTGCCTCTAACATTGACAACCCACAGCAGCTACTTTCTTTCCAAACTTGTTTTTTGTATGTATGTGTGACAGTACGGATTGAACCTCCAGGGTTTCCCACGTGCTAGGCAAGTGCTCTACCCCGGAGCTATACTTTCAACCTGCTATCTAAACACTTTTAATGTTTTTTTTAGTCCACTTCATTTATTTGCTACTTTGGCCTTCTGTTTGTACTCATTTTATGTGTGAGTGTGTGTGCATTGTCCCCAAAACTATTAAGGGGTTCATATTTACATCTCTGTTACAGTAACTAGCATAGTAGTTTAGCCCAGCAGAGGTGAAGGAATTCACTGAGCTGGCCACTTAGCCTGGAAACAGTATTTTATGTCTTGTGCATTTTAGGGATGTAAAGATGAGGAAATGGTTAACATTGGGCAATCCTGAAACAACAAGGGAAAAAAATGATGTGGTTTAAAAGTCCAAGCAGGCACGGGGCAGTCAGGATTGCCAGAGTGATAAGCTAAAAACAAACAGGCAGCCTTGGGGACCAAGGAGAATTTGGTGGGAGCAGGAGGAAGGCTTCCGTCTGCAGGTAGCCTCAGGTTACCTGGTCGACTTCATCTCTAAAAGCAGATATACAGTGCCTAGAAGCCCTGTGCCTTGTTGTCACCCTTAGAGCTGCAGACACAATCCCCTAGAAGCTCTTTATCGGAGCAGGCTCAGAGCGCAGCACGGAGGGAGGGTCCTAACATTACGTTTTGTCCCTTACTCTTCTGTATCATATTGGAACCTGGTCACCGCTCCTGCAGCGGGTGCAAGAGAATTTCTTCTCCAAGGTATGAACTATCCTCTAAGGCAGGTACTCTTTCCTTCTAGTTGCTAGTTTAATATATTCCTTCAGGGGCTGGGGATTTAGCTCAGCGGCATAAGCGCCTGCCTTGCAAGCAGGCAGTCATGAGTTTGATCCCTGGTACCGATAAAAAGGAAAAAGACAATTGAGGGATATATATATATATATATATATATATATATATATCCCTCAATTGCTTCTTAAGATACTGGGTATATTAATCATAAGGCACTCACATTTATAGTAGAAAAATTAACATCTAGCTAGAGCTTTTGATCACTACCCTAAAAGGTTAAAGCTTTTCTGTCTTTTCCTCTGAAATGCCCAAATCTTAGCTGACTGACTTTCAAGTGAAAGTCTTTCTTCTAAGTACTTGCTTTGGCAAGCAAGGTAGGGTAGAACATGTCCAAATGATCATACTATTTGCCAAAAGAAGACCATAAACTCAACCCCACTATCTGTCCCTTCATCTTGATATCAACTTCAGCCCATCCCAATTATACTCCCAAGAATCCAGGAAAAAAAGAACTTTGATTCTAAATATGGACCAATAACATCATATTCTAAAGATAAAGACATTAACAGAGCAAAAAACTTATCAAAAGTAGTAGGAATCATCACAAAATTAATTTAGAAGAGAAGGGGAAAACAAAAGAAAAACTAATGTGAACACTGTTTGACTGCTACCCATCACCAAATTACATCATTTGAAGGCTCTAGACACAAATGAAACACTTTGGGCTCAAAATATATATCTCTCTCATCCTATTTCTTATACTTAATACATTAAGTCATGTAAACAAAGTGAAGTGACTTACTATCCAGGAGGCTCTGAAGAAATGTCTGGAGTGGGACTGACTGTTGAGCTCTGTAAGTCAAAATAGAAAAACAAATGTAGATGATTTATTTTTCCTTAGAGATTTCAAACCAAGAGAAAAAGAAATAAGCCGCTTTCCAATCCTCATTTAGGTAAGGACCTCTGGTCGGCCAGGGACCCAGATGGAAGTCTCCAGGGTTTCAGGGCAGTGGACTTCTCAGGCTCCGCTCTTTTGTCTTCCAGGACACGTGGTATGTTTCTGAGGGGCTCAGCCAGTGGCCCCTGGATTCACACTGATCTTCAGCCACAGGTTCCCGGGCAATGGCCCCCCATGGGCCACATGCAGCAGTCACACAGAGAGCAGGCTCTTGGCCAGCATTTCCACAGCCCTCAGAACCCCATGCTTGGCCACTGGAGAACCTTTCATGCACCGCAACTGCCACATCCAGAGAAGGCCACACAACAATTTGGGTAAAGAATATACAAAGTGGATTTCAAAAGACAATACTGTATTAAAATAATTTGTTTATGCCCAAAGTTTAAGAAGTACGCAAATGAGGAGAGATGCAATTTCATAAATTCTACTGATCATTTCAGCAGGAATGAAAATGCTTTATAAACCTGTAGGCCACAGTACAAAACGAGGGAAAACCACCAAGAGCTCCATGCAGGGAAAAAAAGCAATGTAATTATGGCTTAAGGTTTCTTTTGTTGTCTTGGAAAGAAAAATGTAAAAGGTTTGAGATATTTGTGATGAGTAAATCAATGTAAAAAGTAACTTTTAAAGATATCCTTAATAATGACCTTATCTCTAATAACAACTGTTTAAAGGAAAACAACCTATCTGGAGAAGAAAAAATTAGGAAAGGAGGGAGGGACAAAGAAAAGAAAGAGATTATGGAAAAGGGAGGAGACGGCAAGAAGGGAGAGACTCATCCACCTCGCCCTCTCTCTGCCTGCCGAAATACCCACCTTTAACTTGTAGGTTTGAGTATTTTCATTTTTGAGAGCATCTCTGTCCTCAGAAGACTCTGCCTCACCCAGTCCCATTACATCTCAGAGAGGGCAGGTGCTCTTATCTCCAAGTTCACCCTCCAGCCCTTCAGGCTGCCCTGGTGTATGCAATGCTTTCTTGTGCCCATTGTGCCCTGCGAAGGGCTCTAGGTCCCTGAAGCAGGCTCTGCCCACAGAAGATAGCAGTTAATTTAGTAACTCTCTAGCTGTCACCCATCTTTGTGCGGATTACAAACACTCTCTCATATTGGGCTACTTTAAGAAGTATCACTGATTCATTTTTCTATCCTACCACAGATTTCTCATCCACAGTTCAGATCACTTTAAGACTTGCCTGAACCCACAGTTCTTACTCCAGAACGAGCTGTGGTCACTTCTCTCTTTGGACCCTGAATCTGACAATAGCTATACCAAGTTCTGGTCTCTATCATGGTTGTAAATTTAGCACCCCCTTACGATCTTCCTCCAACCCCCAGTCATCTATCTATCTGTCCCAATTGCATACACAGTGACTCATCTTCTGTGCCTCCTTCAAGTTCTGAGGAAGAAGCCCCTGACTACTGCCCCTCTGGCTCTCTCAGCCTCTGGCGACTCTCTGGATCCTTGGCTTCTAAGTGCCCTGACTAGCCTGCAGCTTTCTTATGAGAGCTCTACTTAGCTAATACTGTAAAATCCTGATTTTCCCATCCTTTACCTGGTTTAAGTCTCTGGCATTCACATGACTCTTTGAATCCCAATTACTCAGGCTAGTAGCCTAACTAACCCTTTTACTCTTAGTTCTGCTTATGTGTAACACAGATTAATTATCAATTTCCACTTTGCCTGCCATAGTTTGTGGATCTTCTTGGTATCTTGAGCAGCATCCACATTCCTGTTTTATTTTCTCTAAAGATACCCTTCCCTCAAGATAATCTTTAATTCTGAGAGAAGCCCTTTGGAACAGTTCTGCATATATTAGCTTTCCCTTTGGAAACCCATTTACCTTAGACTGACTTTTTTCCTTTTTCCGGTACCAGGGATTGAACTCACGACCGCCAGCTTGCAAGGCAGGTGCTTATGCCGCTGAGCTAAATCCCCAGCCCTAGGACTGACTTTTAATAAACGTACTTTAACATAACTTCTCTTAACAATATCAATGCAAGTTCAGATTCAAACATTTGCTTGTGACCTCTGGGGTTGTATAATTTTCTGACCTTTATAAGTACAGTGGTACCTCGTTTCAAAAACTTAATTCTTCCCACAATTTTAGTTGCAGAATTTGTTCCACGATTCTCTTGTAATACAGTTGCAAGTAGAATCATGGAATTAATTCTATGACCAGAATCACTGACAGAATTAAGTTTGTGAACCCAAGTGCCACTGTACTATTGCACTGATAGTGCATTGCACAGAAAGGGCACCCAAATCATTACTATCATGGGTTTTGTTTAGTTTTTATATCGATACTGAGAATTCATTGTCGAACCTCACAGACACTGGGAAAGGGCCACTTCACTACTGCATCAGCCCTTTAGTATTTTGAGACAGAGTCTCACAAAGTTGCCCAGGCTGTTCTAGAATTTATGATGCTTTCTTCAGCCTTCCAAGTCACTGAGGTTACAGATGTAAAACACTATGTCTGGTTTAGTGCTTCTTTTGGAAAATGACTCTTAAGATAAGTATCTGCCAGGGATACCAAAAAAAAAAGACAAGGAAATTGCCAAAAACAAAGCTTCTTCAAAATTCAGAAAGGGTACACAGAGGTAAAGGAAAGGAGCTTAAGAGTCACCTCCACAAAGCAAAGGCAGCAGGAGAGAGGGAGAGGCTGGGGGGGGGCAGTTTAAACAACCAGCCGCTCTGAATATATTTGGAAAAATCTCCTGTAAGGAAGAGGTAAAGTTCAAAAAGAATCCAAACAAAAATTAACTAGGAGTGGAGATGAAGACGGGGTAGGAAGGGGGCGGATGCTAAAACAGAAGTCAGAAAAGCCATGCAGTTTAAAATAACCAGCATTACTGGCTGTCACTTCAATTCTACCAGAAACCATCGAACAAAAGGAGAAAAAGCAGCACATGAAAAGAAACTCATGGCATGAGAAAAACTGGGAAATACCTGTGGTGAGTTTGAACTGGGTGCTGTATTAATCGTCTCCATTTTTTCTAAATCTGCCTCTAACTCTGTTTGGCAGAGGTTGAGATCTTTTTCTAGATTAGTCTGGTACAAGAAAGAAAAGATGAGAAAGGATGTTTTAGTTTAGAGGAAAGGGAGAAAGAATGGAAGGTTAAGTTTGAAAATGAGTGTTTTTTAAGTGTTACACCTTAGTAAAGCCAAGTTGGCATGACTCAATCACAAGAGGTCACCAAAAATTAGTTAGGATGTAAAAACAGAGAATACAACCTTAGGCATGTACAATAGAAATCCTAAAGTATCAGAGTTTCAAAAATCTACCTGATAATCTACAAATACCACAAAAACCTACCTTTACGTAGAGACTTATTTTGCCCCTTTCAGAGTACAGTGACCGTGACAAACACTGTATGTCAGAAAAGTAAGTATTTTAGAAACCTCTAAACATTAGTATACGTTTTAGAGACTTTATTAGTTTTATCATCAAGCTAAAAAATAAAAGTTACCAAATTTAAAGGAAAAAAATGACTTAAGGAAAGAAGAAAGAAAACAAACACACTCACACTAAGCACGCTAACGAGCACACACACAGTCCACAGAGGCGGCAGAGGGGAATTACCTTTCTATCCTCTCTAGGAAGGATAGAGCAGTCTCCTGGAGTATAATCCCATATCTTTTTGGGAGGCTGACGGGAAGCAGAGGAGGAAATGAAGAAATGAGCATAAAGACATAAAGACAAACATGGAGGCTGGCTCAAACAAAGAGGGCGCACTAGGGGAACTGTACCAACACAGAGAGGCAAACTCAATGCAAAGGGCTGGGGACTCTGCCTGCCCCGGGGACCCGGAACTACTAGCTGCAAAAGGTACTTCTGTGTCCGTGGATAAAGAGCACATCATCGTTGGATTCTAAATACTGACAATATTTTTTAAAAGGGAGGGGCCATTAACATGATTGTGAACAAAAGTAGACTTTCAAATTCCTCATTGTGATTTTTGAATTAGGGTTGACACTGGAGATCTTACATGTTTCAGCGTTGCCCACTATAAAACATTCACAGCCTGATAATACATGTGTGATCCCAGAGGTTTGGCCGATACAGGGGAAACTGAACTAAGGATGTTTCTGTGGATTGTAGCAAGGAAATCAGGCACAAAAGGGGCATTTAAAGCATTAGACCATTTCAGAGTTTTTAACTCTCCTTACAGTTTAACTAGATTCTAATAATACTACTAGTTACAAAGATACATCTTCCATTCTCCTTTGTGAATAAAGTTTAAACTTAGAATATAAACAATATTTTATGAGGCTGCTTTTGTTTTCTCTTTTAACCTTTTGTGTTAGAATCAGAACTACAATTGTAAGATGAAAACGTCCTATAACATTGTTGTAGGTTCAACAAGGAAGAGATATGGTACAAAGAACACCCAAAAGTTACAAGACACTTCTAGCTGGGGATTTAGCTCAGTGGCCTAAGTGCCTAGCTGGCAAGTGTGAGGTTGTGAGTTCAATCTCCCATACCAAAAAAATAAAAAACAAAACAAAACAAAAAGCCACAAGACACTTCTAATCTGGTGCCTTTCTCTCACTGAGTGGATTCTTTTGTTTTGCCTATTCAAACTGAAATTTCTTATACAATGACTTTTGGGGAGATAAGAGAGGATATTATTAAAAGTTCCTTCAATTCTAAGTAAATTTCATTATATCTGACTGTTTGCCAGTATTCAAACTATTTTATATTGAGAAATTTTGCCCTGAGTATATATGAAAATCCTGCCAATTTCTGTAGAAATCTGAGTAAGAGGGAAGAAAAAACTGACACTCAGGTTCTCTGCACTAAATCTGCAAAAGAACAGTAACCTGGTTTTAGTGTATTTACCAAGGATAACAACAGTCAGTATTATGGTCTCCAGAATAAGTATATCTGTGCATTGCAAAGTAAGTGACACTAGCAATTATCATTAATCTCTAACATTTCATCTGGGAAGCAGACTTGTTAAAGTTATGTACATTACCACATTCATTTCTTTATTGTAATAAAAAATAAATTAAAAGATGATGTTTACAAATTAAATTGGCTTTAAATAATCATCTCTAAAATGGTCCCTGGAGTCTCAAGTTATTTGCTATTTCACAACAGCAACCTGTTGAGCTGAAAGATATTATAGCCAGAATTTTGCTGAAATTTTGAGTGGACTGAAGTGAATGGGTTGAGGAAGAAAGAAGTTCAGGGTAAATGTCTAGTGGCAAAGTTCTAGCAAGTTTTACTTGGGATAGTGAATCTGAATTGATGTAAACAACAGTTTTAAAAGCTGAAATGATAATACACATGATTTAGCAGGCATTTTCATTTTATTCTGTTTCTGAATGGTTGAAAACTTTACCAAATCAATTTTAAGGGTTCATACTTTTATTCATGTCTCTTACTCTTATAGTCCACAGAGGTAAGGGTAGGAAGAGAGAGAAAAACTTTCCTCTATCACACTTTCCCCCAAACTGTTGGTTCACTTAGATGTAAGCCCATCTTTAGGCTACCTCAAACTATATGGAAGTAATCATCTCAATGCTGTTCTTCAGTACATGGGCATTGATTAAGATATCTTAGCAAGTCTTCAAAAGTATTATTTTAAAATCAAGACCTATACAAAAGACAGCATTTCCATTAGGAGTCTGAAGTCTTGGCAGGCTTCAGAGAAAATGCCATCATAGGAAAGTATGTCTAAATATTCAAATAGTTAAGGACAGTTAGAGCAATGGGGTAAGATGAAGACCTCAACATGCAAATGGACTATGTTCTCAGGATATGTGTGAGGTAGGGCTGTGTGGTCCATCATTAGCAAAAGAAACTGTTAATATTGACTAAGCTATTCTCTCAGTCTATTTAGCATATAATGGTGCTGAAATGCTGTTTATCGTTGACAAAATTTTTCCAATGGTAGATGTGGGAAAGCAAATCACAATTAGGAAAATTTTTAATAATTTTTTTTCTAAAAGTTAATATTTCAGATACAACCAGTTCAGTTATTTGGCCAATAAGATGGCCAAAAACTTGTAGATCCTGAAAGGGCTTCAAAAAACATTGGCATGGACTCTTTATTAAACACAGTTTAAACAGATTTTATTGTTTTGCTAGAAGCTTTTACATTCCTTGATGAAATTACATTGTTATTGTTAAACATGCCAGTCAAATCATGGGATGGGAGACAGCTACAGTATGTATGTCAGAAGCAGCTTTTTTGGGCAATAATAGAACAGGTTTTGAGAAAGACAAGACAAGGAAACCAGTAAAGATACTGTTTGATATTTGATATTTGTGAAAAAGATTGCCTGAGGTAACCTTGATGTCTAAATGGTGAAGAGCAGAGAAAAAAAGGGAGGTAAAACAGAAGAAATAGGTGTGCCCCAAACCTTAGAGAAGGGGGAGAGGAAGGTTTAGTCTGCACTAGGCTCATTCCTCCCCACTGTCCCTGGGTGGAACTCTGAGGCAAGGATCACTCAGCAGCCACCTTAAGATGGTGTCCTGGAGGGATCAGAAGAGAGAAACCCTGAGCTATAAAGTTAATTCTTGTCTACAAGTGGAATTATCATATCAAACTATAATAATTCAGTGGTTGGACTCAATATTTAGCATTTCATATAAATATCTAATAAAGTGATTTCATATGCTTATTGTCTCTACCTAAATTCTTTTTGCAATTGTAATAATTAAGACTTTATGTAGAGTTTTAATGTCAGAATCATCTCGAGGAAAAGGATGATGTCAATTCTCCTTTCTATTTGATACTCCTTTGGTTTAAGGCAAAGAAAATGGTCCTTTAAGTGCCATAGTCACTTATCAGCAATACTAACTCGGAGGTAATACAGAGAAGCTGAACAGCATTAGGTTGAACACTAAATGTGCTGGAATTCCTACCCTTTATTCCAAACTTTGGAAAATATTACCCTAACTCACAGACATCATTCCTTAGCAGTTGCCTATGTGGGGATGCACTTGTGAGTTGTGCCTGCATAGAGACCCCTTCTGGCCCGCTCTTGGACTTGTTGTACATATGTGCTCTCCGAGGCAGGAATCATGCTGATTTTTCAGTGTGTCATGTACTTTTATCCTTGTCTTCAGCATGTCATAAAGAATTTGGTCAAGGGAGTTAACCATAAAGATAATGTCACCCATGTGATACTTGTTGTCAGTAGTGGCAGGGGCAGGGGCAGGAGAAGTAATGATTTAGTTGTGCTCTTTGAGATATTCTGCTAAAATATACTAAGAACTCACTGTCTTTTCTTGGTGATGTAAAGTAAGGAAAGCTCACAGTTTGGAGTGAGATTGACAACCAACATGGCTGTTCCCCATCCCTGAATTCCTTACACATAGATCTGATTCTTTAGCAGGAACAATGCATCAACAGCATTTTATACAAAGGTGTATAACCACTGAAGCTATTAAACTTACCGGTTTCCCAAACTCCAATTCCGAAAAGAATTTATACCAAGGTTCATTCTTTAAATCTATCTCTTCTGGGCTTATATCCCGACTCTATAGGGGTTGGTGATAGGGAAATGAAAGAAAGAGAAGGATAACATTATGAAAAGATTACATAGGAACAGGCCAGTAGAGATGCAGTGGTTTCCAGGCACACACAGCAACTGCATTCAACAGCAGCAACTGTCCTTTTTTACTGATATCAGCAAAAACAGGAGAGATAGGATCTGTTAAACGGGGCAAGTGGAGGACAGCAGTGAGAGGCTCATTCTCAGTCCTCAGCAGAGGCAGATGGACTGAAATGGAGAACTCTGTACCACCTTGCAGTTGTTCATGGGTCCAAAATCTGGATATGGGTCCAAAAGAATTCCTTAGTAACTTTAAGTATTGTGGGGGAAAAAGAATCCCTTATTTCCTCTTACAAAGAACTCTTAGTTACTGATGAGCACACCAAACATTTAGCATCTATGCCAGTTGAGTAGAGCAAACGGTTTTTATAGGCTAGTACAGTTTTAGTACATATTTGCAAGGCTGCCTTAATATTTTCAAAATAAATGCAAATACTGATGCCTGATGAAAGCCAGTTTGTTAATACTGCATCTTTAATGGCACACAGATAGGTGAGAAACCATGTCTTGTACACAGTAAAGTAAAAGATGATATAAGTAAAAACAGAGGACACAAGTGAAAAAACATTTTGAACAAGTATCCAAGGGGAATGAGCACAGACAGGATATTCTTTGTGTTCTAACAAATGTTAAGGAACTGAGAAAAAAATTAAGTGACAGAAAAGCTGGACAAGACATAACAGAAGAGGGGAAGAAAACTTCTGTGTTATGTTACAAAAATAAGTTATATTTCTCACTTTATAGAACTCTAAGAGTTATTACATATATACTTTCATGTTATTTAATATTCAATAAAAAATATGTAAACTTCTGGTGTCTTATTGTGGGGAACATATATTTCTAGAAATAATTAGTTCAGAAGTGAATGTCAGGAGAGAAAATCAGGTTCTCCCCTTAACAAATGTCAGCTATGGGGCTGGGGATTTAGCTCAGTGGCATAAGCACCTGCCTTGCAAGCACGCAATCGTGAGTTTGATCTCTAGTACCGATAAAAAAAAAAAAAAAAACACAAATGTCAGCTATGTTCATACCAGACAAAACTGTTCAAGGCTTATTGCTTTAAATTCATGTATGCATATGTTTCAAAACATTTGATAATAACAAAAAGAAAGCTATGATGATTTTCTGCACAACTTAAAATATAAAATGTATATATTTCCTGCTAAGATTGAAAACATCACATAAGGAATTTTACCTCCAGGCTATCTCCTGGAAGGCATATGCAGAAGAGGGTTGCAGAGCTCCCAGCAGATGTCCTCGGTGCTGCTGCATCACAAAGCAGTTTTCCTGGCTACATTTTTCTTAACAAATGAGTTAATACTACTTTTGCAACTTGTAGAAAGAGCTATAAACTATCTTAATGATATTTATCAACCTCTTTTTTGTTAAGATCCTAAGGAGAAACTGCACTACTTACTATTGTTACAGGCAGAGGGTAATATTGATAAACTGCAGATACTTTGAACTGAATTTCAACTAAGATGAAATCAGAAACACAAGGTATGTCCTACTGCATCTGATAAATCTCTTGCAAATATCTGTGGGGATCCAGGGCTTTGATCTTTAAGCGACAGGCTGGCAAGCCGGAAGGTAAATGGATTCTGAATCTATTCAATGAAATGAGGTACAATATCAAGGACACAACCATTGGAGAATGACAGCTTAGACACTGGGACATTCTAGATTCTAATATGATGGTGTTCATGAAACCTAGTTCATGCTTATTTTGTACCAAGAGTATTTATAAACTGCTTCTTGGGACTAGGCTATGCATTTTTTAAAAAACATTAAAATGTACCAACTCTTTTGGGAAAGTCCCTGAAAGTTCTGGGACTTATATCCTGAAACGATTAACCCTTTTTATTTTCCAATGCTGTGTGCAGACTGTTTTACTGATGAGGTTAATGCTGGGCCAAGAATAGAACTGGGAGGTATGTGCAACAACTTGAGTCCAGAGCTTTGAATTCAACAGCTCCCATTCTTTAGACTACTCAGAAATAAGGTTAAAGGGTAACATCACACAGAACTGCCACTTACATTTGGTCTGTCAAATATAACTCAGCTGAAGAGCCAAATAGGGGACAGACCAGCAGAATATGTCCTTCTGGATGCAGAAAAGCAACTCTGTTCTGGCAGTCAGGGCAAATCCCATGAACCCAGGCGACATTCTTTGCTACTGAAGGCAGTTCTTTTTGCAGCTTGATAAAATCCTTGGAAAGGATTGCTGCTTGAATGGGACCCAGATACCAGCTTCAAATTTTAATTAAACAAATTCTCTGAATGTGGTATGCTCACTTGCATAACTTCCTTATGTTTTTAGGGTTGTTAGCTTTCCAGTGGTACTGGGGATTGAACCTTGGGCCTTCACACTGAGCTACATCTCCATCCCCTTTCCCCTTTTCTTTTTTAGGGACAGGTTTTCACTAAGTCACTGAATTGTACAGACTGGGCTCAAACTTGCAGTCCTTCTGCCTCATGCTCCCAGAGTGCTGGGATTACGGTCCTCAGCTGCCATGCCCACCCTGTTCACAGTTCTTGTATCCATATTATCGCACTTGACTGTCTCATTCAGTTATTTCACTAGAGCTGATAGTCTAGATGTTACCTTTATTTTATGGATGGAAACACTTTCATGAAGATCAAGTGACATTCCCCAAGACATAGGACGGAGTCAGAACTGGAACAGAATTCAGATCTTCCAATTCCTGTTGCAGATTTTTGTACCCTATATTATACCACTACTTCTACTCTGAATGATACGAGATAGACTCACTGAGTTTGCAGATGACACTAAGCTAAAGCAGAAATGAAATGCTAGCATGAAATGCTAGCAAGTAAGAAAGTCATGATGAACTGGGAAGAAACCTAATTGGGTTAATCCCCTTGTCTTACACTCTCAAATATATACTGTAATATGTCTGTAATTACTTATACAACTATGGGAACAAGGAGCCCAATATCTAACCAGGGCCTGGAATGTAAAAGTTATTCTCTCTATACCTGTTGATTGATGCTTATATCATGTTTGGTAAGGGATTTTAAAGTATAAAGAAAAAGGTCCTTTCTGACAAAGCAGGTACCAACCAATAGATGTCCAAGGCTGAAGAAAAGAAAACGGACTCACACCATGATAAAAGGGGCCGAGTGATATTTAGACCTTTATGAGCGAGTCTAATAGGTGAGCAGGTGATCAAAGCTATAAACCATGGGGATTTTGAAGGTAGTAGTGTTATGTGGGTCTAGGACAGAGTGGGTATGCTCAAGGCAAGCTGAGATCTAACAGTTGGAACACTCTAATATTCAACCCGCTACTAGAAACATATAGACAAGTCTCTCAAATTATTACTTAGGTTGACAGGGTTAGATAGACATGAATACTACAAACAGAAAAAGAAAAGTGGGCTTTCCCAAAAGGAGCTACTTAGATTCTACATCTGTCATTTACCACATAATTAACCATTAACACCCTCCCCTCGATGTGTATGGGATGAAGATGCTCAAATTCTGGCAAGCCAGATAGTGGATGCAAAAGGCAAGACTCACCCACTGAAACTCATTTCAACTTTTTTGTTCATGTGATAAAAATAGTAGGAATAAATTAAACATAAAATACTAATTCATCTGTGAAGGGCAGACTCAAAAGATTAAGATTCAACTAAAATTCTTCTCTAAAATTAAAAAATTCTCTTTGGAAGAACAGAGCTGAATTGAGTGAAAAGCTCTGAATTGAACTATTGGATGCAGGGGTTCCTCCCTGGTTGCTTTGGAGCTTACGTCCTGTTATAAATGGGCCTCAGGCTGGCCAGACTATGTAGTTTCTGTGCAGAAACATGGTACTTTGCCATCAAGTACACAGTCCCCACATCTCCCTAGAGAGCCTCAGTGGGACAGAGTGTGCTATTTCCCAAGATCTGTAAAAACAATGTTAATGATCTCAAAAACTACAATATGGAAGGTACTTGGACCATCATAATGCCAATGAGGAAAACAAAATTATGCTATTGTTTCCCGGTTCTGAAAGGTGTTTAAATGATTAAGGAAAGAAAATGGAAACAAGAAATTAATAAAAAGAGTGTATCTTCAGTGACAGCCATGACCGTCTATAAATGGCATACAGTGTTGCCAAAGCAAAGGCATCCAACGGCCTGTGGAGTCCCGAAATGTATGAATACATGATGGTGGGCTCCAGGCTGAGCATTTGAGCACTAGGAATTTACCTGAATAGCAGGATTTTCTTTCCAGGAACCCCTGGATGGAAGGTTACCTTCCATGTCCATTACCAGGAACCATCTAATAGGCAGAAAACCTCCAGTGAAAGTGAGCTGAGGAAAGACCTCCGTTGTTTCTGAACTATTTAAAATACAATGCATACTAAATGCTGAAGAACAGCAACTCAAAAAGCACTTGTGAACTGTTGACCTTTTTTCCTAATTAAAATCACTTATCCTCTGAGCTTTTAAAGATGTCACATTTTTATTTTAGTAAAAGTTAAATCAATTATTCCATAAAAACATGTGGAGCAGAAGGAGTGAAGGGAAAATAATTTGAATTCACATTTCAGAGTCCTGGTTATTCTGCGCCTGGTGTGGTAACAGCATGCGATAAAAACCAGTCCGTAGCACAGTCATTCCACCCTAGTGTTGTGGCCGCGGGCTGCAATGTTGAATCCCTCTGGAGAATCCCTTTACCACAATCAGAATCCTCAAGCAGCTTTATTAATGAAAGGTAAATAAAGGGAATCATGACTGACCGATATGAAGGAAATCCATTTGTAAAAATTCTTCCCATTTCAGAGAAGAGGCTGTTTTTCCCGGGTAGTCTGCTATGCCTACATAAGCCATTTTTCTAATAATAATTGATTGGTGATATGAACTTGTGTAGGGGACCAACAATTAGACTGCATATGAAATTAGTCCTCAGTCTTACACTTACCAAAAAAGCAAGGCCCTTAAAGACACATTCTGATGGCCTGGGTTTTCCCCCAATGTATAACATCCTATTAATTATTTAGCTTTTACTGACATACTAGTAACTTCTACAAAATTTATGTGTTCAAATAAGAATCATTTTTTAAAAATCCTGATTTCATTCCAGTTAACAATAAGCCTGATAAATTAATGGTTAGTTTCTTTTTTTAAAAAGCAGCAGAAAAATTAATTTTTATGCAAGTAGAAAAATTTAAATTAGTTAAAAGCATGCACAAAAGGACCAACAGAGCCACAATAAGAGAATTCTTTAAAAGTAGACTTCAGGACTTATTTCCTGAATAAATGCAAAAATGTAAAGAGTAAAAGTATTTCATACTTTCACTGTCTTCTAAATAAAACAAGTCTATCTCAAGGTGCAAAGAATACAATCCAACAGCATGGGGCACCCAGATTAAAGAACATAGGCAGAGGGAAACAAAAAACTTTAATTTGCACATTACCATCTTTTCGTTGTTCAGAACGGAAGACTTGCCCGGCTGATATTCGTAAATGCTTTTGGGCTCTGCCCGGTATTTTCTGGTATCCACTTTCTTATCTGGGGGCTCCCAGTCGTTTCTGTAGAAAGAAAAAATTTTTAGAGCTATTTACATAAAAACTGCCATCGGCTTTTCCTGATGGAAAAAGGCTTGCCATCGGCTTGGCTGTAGACCAATCAAGAGATTTTTACACCCTAACCAGAAAAATCAGAATTAAGGGTGAACAATTTAGTTGTGCTGGCTTGTTTCCCAAAACAACCAATTAAGTTTCTTCACTTCACAAAGGATTTGAGGTATCCTATGCTCCAGGCCAAGCTTCAGACAGTAGAGAAAAGAGGAGAATAGAGAAGGAAAGAAGAAGAAGCAAAGACTGCCCTGCGAAAAAGAACCTTTCACTTTGCTCCGTTCTCATGAGTTTATCTTTCCCCAAACAGGTCTGTACTTCCTATTCATGCTGGTTTAGAGAGAGAATCTAGGTCTGAGCGCCAGTCAGCTATGGTTCAAATCCCTGCTATTCCACCTGCGAAGCAGATGATCTTAACTAAGCACTTTTCCACTTGGAACCTCAGTTTCCTCATCTGAAAAGTGGAAGATGTTGAACAGATTAAATGACATAGTACATGTAAATCACTGAGCAGAGCACCAGGCTCTTGGCAACTATTCAATAAACATTGCTATTACTATAACCATGATCTTCCCTGTTCCACATCCTGCCCTGCTACCCACCAATCTCAGCCTCTGACCCACGTTTTCAACCTGGCACTCAGAAATTGGTTTCAGGAGATGAATTTTGGAAATTGTCTGCAAAAATGTTTGTGCATGTGCATTATTGCACTTTGCACTGGTTATGTTTCAATTCTGAGGTTGGTCTGAAAATTTCTTGAAGGCAGGACAATAACTTACATATATGCATACTTTTCTATAACATGTCATTCAAGCTGCATAAAAAATGTACCCCACAAGTTCCTAATAAATGCTCCTATAAAAGATTTATGAGTACATCCAACCTTCCTTTCAAATTAATTACCACATTTCCAAGGCAGATGCCACTTTGGTCTGTGTGGCATTTTTTGAGGGCCTAGAGGGGGGAAACTGAATGATATTTAAGGAAATAGCCCCATCTAGCTAAGTCTTTGTGTAGATGTTGGGGATGGAAAATGCATGGGACATTTGTCCAGATAACATGACACTTGTTCCATGGGACATTTTTACAAACAATAATGCAATAAAAGGAAATTGGGTTATTCTGTAAAAACAGTAAGAAAATAATTAATGTCATTAAAGTCCAAGCATTATGCCTCAATAATTCATGGTGTTTAAGTAAACTGACATTAAGAAGTGTGGCTTTATTAAGATTAATTCTTTGCTATGAATATATGTAAGAACAGATTTAGTAGATGCACAGAATACGAAAGTCCATGACAAATCTCATAGTTGAGATTTTGCTTGTGGAAAGGTCAAAAGTGATAATTATAGTTAACATTAATTAAGCCCACACAATGAGCCAGGCATACTAAGAATGTTAGTGTGCACCATCTAATTTTATTTTTACAGCATTCCCAACAAGAAGTCATGCTATTAATACTCCAATTTTACAGATAAGGACTCTGAAATCCAGAAAGAATAAGTCACTGTTGATAGGTGACAGAGCAGAGATTCAAATTTCAAGTTCCTAAGAAAGGAGGCTTCTGAGTATCAATAAATGTTGAAGAGGCCCTGGTTGGCAATAATGACCGTAGGACAAGGAAGGACTCACCTTTCCGGGCTGGATTTTAGTGAGGAAGAACGAGCAGGGAGGGGAAGCGTGGCTGACCTCTTAACTACCTTCTCACCATCAATGTAGCTCATCTCACTTTTTGAGCGAGGCACAGAAAGGGAAGATTTTGCTGGAGAAAGGAAATACATATGAAATATTTTTAAAATCAATGAAAACTAAAGTCAAAATGTATCTTCACCCATCATCTTCCCTTCCTCCCCCACAACCAGGAGACTCAGTCACTTACTGTCTTCAGAAAAGGAGTATCGAGGAGAGTACAGATCTGAATCATCATCTAGTGAATAAAAAAGAATATAATTAGGGAAACTGGAATATGGTAGGTGAACCAAGGTGCATGTTCCCCATTTCCACAATCTTGTACCGCATCCAGACATATCAGGGAACCCAGGGAAAAAAGGAAGAATCAAACACTGAAAGCTATGCACCACAGCAGACCACAACGGAGAGGAGTAAGCTTTGCAGAGTCCACCTAAACCCAACAGAACCTTCAGTCCAGATAAGGTATTCATAATGCTTAGTGGATGGCTGCTGCTTTTCACTGGGAAATAAATGGAATCAAATAGCTGAAGGTCCTCCCCAAGAGAATCTCTTCCACCGAAGCTGGAATGCAGAGTCCCTAGTCTGGTTGAGTGGGATTGGGAGCCGAGATGGAACTGGTTGATCATTCTATCTCTAGTCTTGCCTGCTGAGTTCCATGGAGTGCTTACAGGCCTCCTCCCAGGCTTTTCTGAGACTGCTAGTGAGTATGTGACTTTGATGTTGGGTTGCTAGTTACCTTCCGCAGCTTTACCCTATTTTGTATGTTTACATTTCCACATAAAACATCATTAATAAAATAGTTTTGTAGCTATAGAAAGAGACAGAGAAAGTCTGCATCATAATTTGTTTTGATTCTGTCTTAACCTGGCTTCACAAGTGGGAGATGTGGTTATACTGTGTGCTCTGCAAAGGGACTGCTTGGAGCAAGTGTCTCAATCGTGATTCTAGAACAAATCAAACTTTGCAGGAGTTTCTATGGTGTGAAAGGCTTTCCAGTAGAGTACCGCACATCCCTAAGCAAGTTAAACACCGGGGCTCTAAAACTTGCTGAAGGGAGACAAGATTTGAAATCCTCATAGAAGCTGCTGTATTTTTTTAAACTTAAAAAAAAAAAAAATCAGACAGGGGCTGGGGCTTTAGCTCAGCAACACAAACGCCTCCTTTGCAAGCACGTGGTTGTTGAGTTCGATTCCTGGTACCAGTAAAAAAAATCAGACCATAGTCATATGAGAACAGATGTCTACACTGGATTTGCTCTAAAAATGCAGAATATTTAGATATCTATCCTTGACAATCCTTCCAAAACACACTCCAAAGAGAGTCTAAAACAGTAAAACTTTCCTAGTATGTGGTGTCTTGCTGATCCAAATTCAGAACTAATGCTTGTGGAATAAAGACTCAATTCTTTCTCTTAAAATCTGTAACAACTTTAGTGAGGCACGGGACCCAACCAGTAAAGACAAGTCAAAAAATCTAATGCACTGGGTAAATGACAGAGTGCTAATCAACTCCTTGTTTTTATGCAAATCAGTTTAAATTTCAGAGTAGAAAAGGTCAGAGTATTTTATGAAGTGTAAAGCTAACACTGCTATTATTTTTAGTAAAGCGGTATTCAAAGATAGCTTCTCTATCTCCCTTTCCTCCCCTTCCCTCTCCCCACTTTTATCTGTCCCAGGTCTCCCCCTCAGCCACAATAATGGACAGGTATTAGGTACTAAGGTACCTTTTCTCCCCCTCCTCCTTTTGTTCCTTCCTTTTGTCTTAAAAGATAATAATCAGTTAAAATCAATGTTGGACTGGGCTTGGGATTCTCTACCAACCTTAAGCCTTTTCATAAATATAAATTGAAATATAAATTGAAGTTTATTTGTATTAATTCATGCAAATAGGGTAGGGGAAAGATAAAATGGAATCTAAAACTATATTTTTGTAAAGACTGTTCTGAAGAATTTTGTGTTGCCAGTTTTTGATATTGTTGTTTAAATAGGCCTTCTGATTATTATACTCATCAAATGTCATGATATTTAAAAAAAAAAAACTAAACTACAAGTCAGCTTTGATTGTGAAGGCTTGAATACAAAAACATGGTGTCTATCCCAAATGAAAAGTGAGCTCAGTTAGAAATTAACACATTACTGCTTTAATTCCAGCCTAGTATTTTAGCTCAAAACCTTGTACCTCTCTGAATCAAGGAAAACTTAGTCTATCAATATGTGGTTAATTTATAATTACTAGTTGGTTCATGACGCTAGAAGTTATGAGAGGAAAGGCATTTAAATATTCAAAAAATATATAAATTCTAAACTTAAATACTCCTTAGAGTTTTCTATTGTGGGATTTTAGAAGACTTATTAGAACTCAATGAAAAACAGTTGATAAATAGAAAAATGGCCTACTTGGGGAGTTTCACAATTTATGTGCTTTGAAAACCAGAAGGAGCAGCAGGAAAGGTAAGGAAGAGAACAACAGAAGTTGAATGACTAAATGACCTCAACGCTATTTTATTTTAATCTGGTGTAGGTAAAAAAGAAGTATAACCCCCTCCACCCACACACCTAACAGAGGGCAGGGATCTCAGTCACAGGCTTCACACAGAGTCTAAGGGATTTAATGCAGATTTCAGTCCATGGACTTCCAAGCAAAATGAAGTCTAACAGACTCATCTGAACAACTTTGGCAATTAGAACAAATTGCAGAAGGTGTTAGTTTATTCTCTTAATTTTTGATATTTGCCTTACGAATCTAATGAAAGGAAATTTTACCTCACCTAATCAATAGCAATAGTAGCTCTCATTAGTAAGTGCTCCCATTCTTAAAAAATAGCTAGAAATTTATTAATGTCTCACTCAAACCTTTTAAAAAACTCCTGAAGGAAATAAATACGTCATTTTATATAAGACCATCAAGGCCCAAGGAAGGTTAGAAACTCTGCCTTCAGCTGCACAGCGAGCAAGATACAAAGCAGGAACAGATTCAAGATCTTTCTGACATCACTTCCTGTGCTGCTGTTGGTGCTGTAACAGGGATGGCTGCTTTGTTCTTTCATCCTGGTTTCATGTGCCCAATATTGGGAAAAGTGAAAGGCCACTCCATTATTATTTTTATTATAAAGAATCTTGATTTTTTTTTTTTGTCTTTTTTTTCTTTTTTACCGGTACCAGGGATCGAACTCACGACTACCTGCTTGCAAGGCAGGTGCTTATGCCGCTGAGCTAAATCCCCAGCCCCTGAAGAATCTTGAAAATCAAGTGCACACTTGGCCAGGCTAGTCTTTAGACCCTGATAACTTTGGTCTGTTTTTCTATATCATGCTACCATGGGTGGTGCTTAAGTGAGTTTTCTGAGTTTAACCTTCAAACTCCTAGTTCTCCTCCTGCTGGTCTCCAGGGACAATGGGCAACAAGAAGTCACCCTTGCTATATCTTCCATTTGTTTCTTTTTGAAACCTTCTTCTGCAATCTACAACTACACTGGGGAAAATATACATGCAGTGAGAAATGCCAGAGAGTGGCCAAACTCAGTATAAGGAACACTCATTTAACTTCTACACACAAGAGAAAGGGAGAGAGGGTCAGAGGGAGAGAGAAGAAGAGAGGGAAAGAGGGAGAGAGGGGGAAAGAGGGAGAGAGAGATAGAGAGAGATTAGCTATAACTGAGATACAGTTCTTAAAGCATTTCTCAAATGTCTATGAACTAACACCAGAAAATCTCCCCTCACTTCTCCAAAGGTTTTTATGCAAGGCCACAGCACACTCAGCGGGCTGGGTCCTGGGACCCTGCTCACAGTGGAGCCACAGGCTGTCTGTTCTCCTCAGAGCACCAAGCAGCGGGTAGCAAACTGTGGTAACAACACTCCGGACTTCCTAAGCCAGTGACTCCGAGAAGTTTGAACACTATGCAGGATTCACATGGGGTGAATAATTCATTTTAGGCACCTAACGGCTCTTCTGGGCTCACACCAGTGACCTTCCCAAAGGATTTGGCAAAAAGCATTTGTAACTCAATTTGGAGACCACCAACCCCTTAAAACTGCCAGGAGCTACACAGTTGCCTTTTCAATTACATTTACTTTAACTGAGCCTCTAAGTGGTTTTCTGAGTCACCTGTTGCTATTGCGTGATTTTGCATATATGTTTAGAATTCATAAAAATCTTAAAGATAACTGAAGAAAATGCTGGTTGAAAATCACTGTTCCATTTATGCTATGTAACTGACCAAAATGGGATGTTAAAATGTCAGCATTTGTGTAACCATTACCTATACCATTTGATTTCAATTCTATGTACTTTTTAGGTCTTCAAACCTAAAATTATTGTTCTAATATTAATTGCATTTTTAGTGCCAGGGATTGAACCCAGAATCTCTGTGCATGTTAAGCACGCTCACCATTACCACTACCACTGAGCTACAGTGTCAACCCCTCTCCTGCTTATTTTGAACATGGAGGTCTTACTTTGTTGCCCAGGCTGGTCTCTGAGACTCCCAAGTACCTGGGGCTAGAGGTGCGTGCCATCACACTCAGCTTTATCAGTTCATTTTTAACACAATTTTTTTCATGCTCAGCATAATTCTCCAGTTTTACTCCATGCATTTAGGGAGAGTAAGGAAAAAAGGAAAAATACAAAGAGGTATACAACCTCAAAACAAAAACAGTCAAGGAAAAAGAGAAATGTATGCAGAGAGGGGTACATAAGTCTTAGATAGGAGAGGAAAAGTAAGCAAAATAGGCAAGGAGAAAAAAAACAGGAAGTCTGGGAGCTCCTGGAAAGACAGATAAAATGGTCTATTTTTATTAAAGGCAATTTACCTTTAAATTAATTAAAGATTTTAAGGAATGAAAAAGAAGTCCAGGACAGGGTGTAGAGTAGCTGCAAAAGATATATTCAGGAAAAAATAGAATTTTGAGGATGAGATGAGTTAGATAAGACGTCAGAAGAGAAAGTCTGGAAGGCCTCTTGGGTTGGAAAGAGACTCACCCTTATCTCCTATCAGATTCCTGGATCCTGAAGGTGGAAAAGGAATAACTGTTTTGTTTCTTAGCTGTCATATAGGCCATAGACGTCTGCACTTGCTAGACGGAGACCATCTGGGCACTTCTCATGAGGAGAGCAAAGGTGACTGCTGCAAACTGCTTGGCCCCTCCTCTGGGCAGAGCTAACCAAAGTCTGAGGCAGGAGACACAAATCTTGGCCAAGTTTAAGACAATAGAATGATTTGCTTATACTCAAGCAAAAT